AGTATTTATATTTTGGATTTGTTTACAGGTAAAAGATTTGGGCAGATCTCGGTACGTCACGGCATAGCAAATTTGATACTTAACTACAAGGTAGTGCCTCTTCCCGGCACTCCTAAGCCTAACGAAGTGGAGTTCGATAAGCGAGGACTCTTTTTAGTACCTGGACAACATCTTCATGTAAACTTTGTTTCGAGGAATCAAGATTAAATTTAAAATTTAAATCTTTATTTATTGTTTTGCTGCTTTTAAAATAATAATAAAATATACGACGTAGATAAAACGTTATGACAGAAAGAGACTATAAATTAAAGAATTCCGGTCTGGAATTGCAATGTGCACATACATATAAGTATAGATAGTAAGCAGCCATTTTTACATACATTGCACTGACGCTAACGATAGTTATAGGATATGATGATGACTGGCGATTTTTTAGTTTAAATATTTGAATGCTAAATTCCGTCAGGTAAGCATGATATTGAATTTTTGTTAGATAAATATTGATAAAAACTTTACCGACGATAGAGGTAATTTATTATCGGATACACGACAATTGATAAGTGTCTAGATGTGGGCGATATGAATACGACGTTGCATGCCATGGAACGATGAGACTTGCCTACGAAAATATTTTGCAGGTGCCGCGCACGGATCAACATTAGAGAAGTGACCGTTCTTAACATAATATATCGGGCCAATAGAACTTAAAAAATGCAGAGAAAAACAAGGGGATGTCTCGTGAATTATACGCATATAAGCCACGGTGACTAAATCGGTTTTAAAATGCTGAACGTGTAAAGTGGTCCGATATTACATAACACATTGTAGCAAACGAAAAAGAAAAGATATTAATATAAGATTTTGTTATCTTATGATTGATTAATTTCGGAATCATAATAATACTTGAACAATGATATCAGCTATGTAGTGGTAATGTATAAATAAACGGCTTAGCGCAAACTTATGACTCAAAATCGAATGCATTTTTTACTTATGGAAGTCGGACTTAGCGCCAAATATCGTTTTTAAAATCACTCCTGGTTTAAAACCCCTATGTAAAGTACGTTGTGATATACTGTATATTAAAGTTGTAGCCTAATGAATGTACCTATGCATTAATACATGCTAATTCAAAGCAAACAGAACGAAATCAAACATGACACATTTATTCAATTTATTTATTATATACATAGTCATATCGATGATGTCAGATCGGTATAAGGCAAGTTCCAGACTTGTGTAGATTGGTTATTAAGATCCAACAAGAGGTCGAAGTTCTTAAGACAACTCAACCGTCCATTGTTTAGATACTATTATAAATGAAATAGAGGATAGAAGAGCAAAATTATTAAAACGTTTAGTTTACCAATATTGCTTTTGTTATAGTTTACTCAGATGGGGACATTCACATATCCAAAGAGATCAGCTGAAAAGTCTGCGAGACGAACATGCTTTGAGGATCGATAAGGGTGAAAAATCTCACTATAAAATATGTTACCAACATTCCAAAAAATACTATAATTATAAAAAACAAGCTTTACCTCATATAACTGAACTTAAGATTTTATACATTAACTTGGTAACCATATAGGCAAAATTCGATATTTTTCTTATAGAAGTTCAAGCGCACTAATCTGTTTCACTAATGATATCTAAACAGCAAATTGAGTGATATTCTAATTTAATTATAATGTATTAGTACGGATTTTGTATACGGAATATTACACCATCATGATGTCTTCCATCTAGGTGAATCCACTCTTCAAAGCGGACTAGCGAATTTGCAGAGACACGCCGCAGGTATTCAACTCATGGCTCATGGCATTTAACTATAGCTCTCACTTCTGTTTATATTTCTTCAACTGCTCAAAATTCGTAAGAGGGGTATTATAAACTGCTTTGAGATAACTCCTTAATAACCTTAAACTCCTTAATAAACTAAAATATTAAAAGTCCTTACTAAATAATATTAAAACTGGCAATAATTAAAATTGTTTTAAAATAACGAATACTATAATTGTCTTAAAATAACTAAATTATATTATGTACAATGTGTTTCATAGGTAATTACATTAAAATGATAACGCACAAGAGCTCTGTTATCTGAATGAAATCTGTTAAGCCGTGTGCCGTTTTTTAAAAGAAACAACATTTTGTAAATAGTAAAAATACAATAGTTCCCATTAACAATTTTTACAAGAGACGTTGCCGTTTTGAGAACTTACCTATTGTGCGAAAAATAAGGAAATATCTAACGTATGTTTCGCCTGCATTACGAAGGGCTCCCACACAAAACTGCGATGCGATGCGAATTTCTGCGATACGATTTAGTGCGGTAAACCGTTTGGTGCCCTACCATTCCTTCGTAGTCAGCCGTAATGGACGTGTTTTTAGGAAGCTTAAGATGGATCGCAAAAAGATTATTACACTGCTGTTACTGTTAAATAGATGTAAAAGAAAAAAAATATTCTGGGTTCATCCATTTATTACGATTATGAACTCTGATGCAAACTTTCACAGACGCTCTTACACGCATCTTACTTAATAAATTTATTTTTATAATGTTCATCACTTGTGTCCCAAACGACGGGACGCTCCTCAATTAAAAATATTAAAAAATCCATATCATATTCAGCAATTTTTTATAAACTAAGAAGGCGGCGGAGGCCGCGCCTCTTTCTTTAAAGCTGTCTCAGAGCGGACTAAAATGGCGTCACCAAGGATAATAAGGCGTAATATCGCAAGAATGTGCGATGCGAAGCAGATCCGAATTTCTTGCGGTGCGTTCGTGCGAATTCGCAGACTTTTGCGATGCGTTGCGAATTCGCAGTTTTGTGTGGGAGCCCTTACTTACCTTTTGACCTCTCAGTCGATTTTTCCCTGTAACCTAAGTTTGTTATGTAATTTGACAAGGGCGCAGGTGACGATTTCTTATGCGCGACTATTAATTCTAAGTCTTCGGAATTAAAAAATTGTGATTTGTAAAAACCCAATATGATTTAATAAGAGATGTGATAATTCTGGTAGTAGCTGAAAACCTAGGGGTACCCTATAGGTAGGTACAAATAAATGTGAATTAATATTTTCTAACAAGAAATAGAATTTTCTTAGACACAAGTAATAAGTTAACCGTTAAACTGAAGTGCCACAAAAAGGACTTAAAACCTCGGAAACACCAGTAAGTTTCTTACTAAAACCTTAATATTGTATTTGTTCCAAAAGTGCATTTCAGTCTAAAGACGGGTCAGGTTGTATTTTAAAAAGAACTAGATACATCATAAAATAATAATTTCCGTACATAAAATACTCGTCAAAGAAAAAACACAAAGTCGATGTACTTTGAACAAACACAAAAGCAGGCGGCGGTAGAAAACGATGTTCAGGCGTTAACGGTACAGTTCGTAGGTCTCGCTCAGCTCGGACGTTATAACGGGCCGCCCCCTAACACCCCTTTACCTATTAGCTTCTACTTTTTAGTCATCGCGATTACTTGGTTATGTTTAAAGATCATTTGCTCATTTGTAGCTTTCTCGCTACAAACATGTTTTCTTATTCTAATAATCAAAAAAATTATGGGATGCTTTTAACGCTATAATCATTTTGATATCAATTACAATTAATAAAACACAATTTGATAGGTCGCTAGACGGCACACATTGAGATTCATTTAAATATTCACACGAAACTTCCGAACATCTAAAAAGTAAACAATCGTATCCTATTAATGTACGTCCCTGTTGTAGGTATTCTTTTATCTTAACGAACTAGCACACCAATGCGTTGCCATTCTTCACCGATGTCTATATGAATGAATTTGCAATGGTGTTAAATTTATTGACTCAATATAGTACCTCAATTTGTTTGTATGAAAAAATGGATTTCTTAATTAATAACGTTTTCGTTATACTTTTACTTTAATATGCATATTATTGACACTGAAATCCTTTGATTAGAAAAATAAATGTGTATATCTATATCTAAACTAAACTAAACAATCGTCTCGCGAAACACTGGCGCCGCAGACATTTCTATATATAGGTACTTAACATGTATTATATAAGTCGTCGTCAAATAAAATTTTTAAGTAATCATATTTCAGTGGTGACACGATAAACATTGGTGGCAATAAAATTTGACATGTATGTATCAAAATTTGACTAGTTTAACAACAACAACGGATTGACTGTTATAATTGAGAGCTTAAAAGTTATTCATAATTATTTTTGTGATAGTTTAAAGAGTTATTAATAACAAAACATTTCGGATACAAAAATCAATAGATTGAGCTGATTTTAATTAGTCGTATATTGATAGTATCATTAAATACAATATTTAGAACAATATAACTAAAATACTTTCTCTTTAGTGGTATGGATTAACTAATTATAATTGTATAAGCCGGTGCAAGCTTCACGAAAATTAATGTGCGATGTTTTGTGACTTGAAACCAATCCGTATTATTACCGCGTAAATGATTATTGTAATATAGTTGAATCATTTTTATTTCCAGTGAGTCATTTTTGAGTTTTCGATAGGTTTATGGTGATATTATACAGTGTACAGCGGGTTATATTTTTATAACTATATGAGTACCTACAAATACTGAAAGACAGTTGGATGACCCAAGACTCAACACATTTGTAAGAGTTTCGGAAATGGATATAATTATGTAATGAGTTACGAAATCAGTGAGCAGTGTTGGCCTAGTGGCTTCAACGTGCGACGCTCATCCCTGAGGTCGTAGGTTCGAACCCCGGCTGTGCACCAATGGACTTTCTTTTTATGTGCGCATTTAATATTCGCTCGAACGGTGAAGGAAAACATCGTGAGGAAACCGACATGTCTTAGACCCAAGAAGTTGACGGCGTGTGTCAGGCACTGGAGGCTCATTACCCACTTGCGTATTATATTGAAAAATGATCATGAATCTGAGGCCCAGACCATGACAATAGAGTATTAATAAAATCACATGTAATATATTTCTGTTTATTTGTTATAGAATGATTGGTGTGCTTATAAGCGCAATAGTGGTGTGTTCAGTGTCATGGGTGTACCTGCGTTGGAGAAGCGTGAAACAATATTGGGCAGAGCGTGGAGTACCATTTCTACCCCCACATCCAATATGGGGAAGCTTGACATTCTTACTTAAAAAGAACCCGGTAAGCATACCCGATGTCGATAAGATGTCGCTTTTAGCTTAGGTATAAGTCTCGCTAGGTTACGTGCCTATACTAGTGATCTCATTGATAAACTTACGGTAAAACGCTAGGACTTTAATTTAAATGTATATATTAATTTGTATATTCACGCCTTTTTCCCGAAGGGATAGGCAGATCTCCATTTGCTACCAATCAGTCACTATCGTACGATACCGTCGGGATAAGCACTCCCCTCCGTACGGCCAGTTACGCCTCATTTGAAATTTCTTGGCTACACATAAAGATACGCAACAACCCATTTACTCTATTCCGATCAATCACTCGTCTTTCTATATCACCGTCAAACTTTCCATAAAATATTAATCAGAGCGACATCCATATCGCGTCGAAAACGCTTGGGTGCGCACTGCGGCTACCAGCACGTGAGAGAGCTCCCGCCCTCCCGGCGTGCTACCTCGTCCCGCAATCGCCCTCCGAACTGTTACGTACTGATACCTGATGGGCACACGCATCAATTAGTGCTGCGACACATACCTCATAATATTGTCTTTGATTGACATAACCTAAATGGGGAAATAAATACAGATACCTAATGCAACTTTCTCTGCAGCTGTGATACTTTTTGACATTCAACACCCTTTGTCTTCAGTCACCGTGACCACGCACGCTGTAAAGCACGCGAAACGTCGGATAAATTAAAAATTATGTTAAATAATTGTAAATTTATAATAATACATAACTTTAATCCGTTAAAAACAGTTTTTTCTTTAAAAGACACATACCTCATTCATAGACCTTAGAATTTATTTTTCCTATATTAACTTTCATCCTCTTTTAAATAAATGTTGAATTATATGTTTCTGCGTAGTTATGTATGAAGTGCCGTAATTATTTTGACAGATACATTTGTTTATTATTATTTATCTATGTATAGGCACAAGTAGAGAGGTGATCTGGTTTGTAAATGCTGGTTTACTCACTACGTTTTCACTTCACCGTACGTGTAATGTTAATTGCACACATATAAATATTTCCTTATATGTGTGCAATTAACGTTTGAATGACCTCAGTCTTGATAAACACATTACCTCAAGGCTTACGTATAGACTATGGATTAATCGAGATTGTTCTTCAGGGCACATGGATGATCGAAATGTATCAGCGGTTCCCTAAAGCACCCCTCATCGGGATCTGGCTGTTCTGGAGACCAGCTCTGATCATCAACTCACCGGAATTGGCGAAACGAATCCTCCTGAAGGACAACTACGTGTTTAGGGATAGGTTTTTGAGTGGTGGAAAGCACGATCCTATTGGCTCGCTTAACATATTGACAACTAATGTAAGTATTTACAAGGTGTTTCATAGGTAATCACATTAAAATGTCACCTGTACCTGTCACCTCGACCTGTATCCACTTCGCGATTTGCCATGACTGTACACGCTGACGACGTCCGCTCCGTTCGACACTACAACGCTCTCTGAAAGCAGAGGCGCTCTCGGCTCTAGCGATCGTCATTCGTCAGCGCTGACAGCTATGCGGCGCCGCGCGCGACGCGTACGGCCGCGCAGCCATCAGCGCTGACCACCGTGCGCGCTTATAGCTACGCGTCATTCAAAAACGCTTTCTAGAAGTTCATATATCTCGACCATCAGCGCCAACGGTGCGCGTGCGGTCGGCGTGACACTAAATTCAGCCTTACCTATGTCTAGTATGAATGAATTTGCAAGGGTGTTAAATTTATTGACTCATTTTACCTCAATTTGTTTGTATGGAAAAATGGATTTCTTAATTATTAACGTTTTCCTTGTACTTTTAATATGTACATTGGCACTGATATCCTATAGAAAAATAAATGTGATTAGGTTTGAAACACATTGTATGTTCTACTATTGTTATAAGACTTAAAAGTTCGAGCTAGTATTTTTTCTAACTTTAAAGTTAAAAAAAAATACTCAGTAGTAAAGAAGAAAAAAATATATTTGAATTCTTGTTATTAAATGGATGGTATAACATGCCGCGACTGTTTGTCTGCAATCTGCATGAACTGAAAAAACGACCGAATTGATTTTTATAAAGTTTTCATCGATAGAGACTTCTGAATATATAGAATGAAATATAACTATTGTTGAAGAGGTCGCCAAAAAATCTTGCTACAATAACAAAATCCACACGGACGATCCTGCGGCCGGAATCAGGTTGAATTATAAAAATGAAACGTTAGACGAATCTCCCATATTACAAGTAAATATATTAGGGAGAGAATCGTGCATTTTTAGGATCCTTTATGGGCGGTAGTTCGTCGTCGGATTTCATCAATTTTCACTGGATCTAAATTAAGAGCTTTACAACCTCTAGTCGACACAAAGACCAGCCAGTTGATAACTCGGATCAAAAACACCGAAGATTACAGCAAACTCAATTTGAGAGTAAGTAATAACATTAGTAATAAAGTCATTACATAGATATTAAAAATTGCATTTACTTTGAAGCATTGTTTCGTTGTACTATTGAATGTAGTATATTGAGTGTTGCAATTGAGACTGTAGTCGTCGTGTAGTACCTAATCAGTTGAGATTTTAGTAATTATCAAGAACATCCGGTTCTTTTAATATTTTTTCAATAGGTACTCTTCATAGTTGAGGTTTTAGACAATCCCGTAGAGAAAATGTCTTTTACTTAGGTAATGAGAGTAACAGTTTCTTAGGAAAACTAAAATAAATTGCTACTTTTGAACATTGAATTAGAAATAACGATACTTAACTGCCAATTCACAGAAACTAAATCAAACTTATTACAATGTTAAAAAAAACAACTGTTGTATATATCTCTTATAATATTTGTGAATTAACAGAATTTGTTTGCGGACTACTCCACGGATGTATTTGGAACAGCTGCGTTTGGCGTTGAGACACACGCTGTACGCACCGGAGAGGATCCAATGAGGAATGTTACAGAGGCCTTTATGACTTTTGATTGGTTAAGAGGCCTAGGCTGGAGCTGCATTTTCTTCTTCCCAGAGATGACTAAATTATTCAAGTAAACCTATTGTACTTAAAATAACATACCGTATGATATAACTTATATTTGTAACTATCTTCTAGATGTCCCAATTCGCACTATTTTTACTCGGATTTCAAAAGAGTGCATTTACAGTAGGTAGTGTTATTGTGAAATCTAACTGCTTTATCTTACGAGTATATATAAAATTCTCGTGTCACAATGTTAGTTACCTCCGAAAAGGCTTGACCAATTTGTATCAAATTTTATATGCATATTCAGTAGGTCTGAGAATCGGCTACTATTTATTTTTCATATCCCTAAGTGATAAGGGGTGTCTACCCCAAAATATTTATTTTTATTTTTTGGAAAAATTTTTTTGTTTTTATTTTTTTATGATACAGCATACAAAAATACATAGGTACAACCCCTAATTTTCACCCCTCTACGATCAACCCCTATTTTGTATTATAGTAGATAGTAATTTTTATTGAACTAAAAAAATGTTTCTTAGAAATAATATACATGGCAAAACGACGTTTGCCGGGTCAGCTGTAATATTTAAAATTCTGACTTCGTTTCCTTTCTATAATTTCTTCACCATCGAATCCGAAACAAGCATTGTTCCGCTGGTAATCAATCCTCGTCTAGGTTTAGTGCGAGTATTTATATAGCAAAATTTAGGGCAAAAAAAATTAATGAGACTTCACTTTTTTTAAATTTCAATTCACTTAAAACAGCATTTCCGTTTTATGTAGTTTTCTTCGAACGGTCGCTTGAATACGAGATTTTTCCTTATTTCAGATTTACGTTGTTCCCAAAATGGTCGACAGAGTACTTTAAAAAAATATTTGCTATTGTCGTTGAACAGCGAAAAGACAAGGTCATAAAAGACCCTAAGGACCTGGTAGACGCTTTACTGAAAATGAAGCAAGATGGGCCAGTAATAGATGGAGTAGGTGAGTCAATGTTGTTGTAATTGTGTTATGGCATGTTCGCTTTCTGCCCAAATAACAAAGAAACAAGAAGAAATAGAACAGAAATACGAAATTGTATCTTTCAGAAATCACTGACGATGTAGTCGTGTCAAATGCGGCAACAATGCTTCTAGGAGGGTTTGAAACATCAGGTTCTGCACTCACTTTTACGTTGTACCATTTGGCATATGAGCCCGAAATTCAAGTAAGTGTCAAACGCCCAAATATATCCTTTTTACAATCTATATCGTATTTATCGAATCATAATAATCAAATGAGTTTGGGAATTGGATAAATGGGATGCCTTCGACTATTTAATGGGCCATTTTGGGCGGAAATACAAGCCCTATAGAAATACAGCTAATGCATAAGGATCACATAGGTTTATTCATCTTTCTTTAGACATTGAAGTTTGATATACTAAGTAAAAAAATTATAATTTCAGCAAAAAATATATGACGAAGTTTCAAAAGCTATAGGCGAAGATGGAAAATTTGATGTATCGAAGCTCATGGAATTAACTTACCTAAATGCAGTTGTCAAGGGTAACTTGAATTATTTTATTTATAAAATGTCTAGATTCAGAAATACACTATTGAATGATTACAATATTTCTGTATAATTTGTTTTTTTATAATAGGATTTTCTGCTTTCTTTATGTATCATTCCTGCTGACACAGGCCGTCTACTTATTGGGTCTCGGGCAGGCCAGTTTTCTCACGATGTACGAGCAAGTGTATCTAACACAGCCGGGGTTCGAACCTATAACTTCAGGGATGAGAATCGCAAGCTTAATCCACTAGGCCAACATTATTTTCAATCAGATCAATAGCTACCCTTTAATTTAAAATTAACAAATAATCCAAAATTAAGAAGAGTATTTTTATTTTTAACGCTTGTGTATATCGACGATGTGGTTCACCAGGTTCCAATTTTGTATTTAAAAATATTTTGCACAATTTATTTTCATAATTGTATTATTTTGCCAAGTGCAAACGAATCAACAATGATATTGGCACTTCGTTACAGAGTTTTGAAATAATTTTTATTCATAAACTATACAAAAGCTTTGCTCTGTATGAGTAAAGTAATAGCTTATTAGTTTTCTTAATATTCTTTCAGAGACACTGCGGCTCTACTCCCCAATGGGATGGCTCGATAGAGTAGCGTCACAAGACTACCAAATTGATGAAAATTTAACAATAAAGAAGGGCACACCAGTCTATGTAAACGCTGTCGGCATGCAATATGACCCCGACTACTTTCCAGAACCATTAAAATACGACCCAGAAAGGTTTATGCCAGGAAATGAGCAAAATATTACACCATTTACATATTTACCATTTGGCGAAGGACCCAGAATATGTATAGGTAATTTTATACCATTATTTAGGACAAAATAAAACAAAACTGTGTACATAGGTACCTATTTATATAATAGCTGGCATGGCATAATGGCATAATAAAACGTTGCACATCAATTATTTTTATTATATAAACTTTAGATTATTTTCTTCTTATAATAATCGTTTCTTAATCGTTAATCCTACATATATTTTTATTTTACTATCGGTACTATAGAACGTGTAAATATAACCCCATATAAATGTAAAATTTATCTTTCAGGAATGAGATTCGGTTTGATATCCGTTCGTCACGCAATATCGAATTTGATAACGAAATACAAATTCGAGCCAATACCAGGAGCGCCGAAGCCTACAGAAGTGGAATTTGAGAAGAAAGGTCTATTTTTGGTCCCTGGACAACATATGGCCATTAATTTTATACCTAGAGAAGTAACATTTTAATATATAATATAAATTAAAAAAATATACATTTTTATTTATAACCATAAATTTGACGATAAATTTTGTCGTGAGCTTGAACCCGTTTTACCTTTTTTGAACCAATTTTGGATCCTTTAATAACTTCCTAAAAGGGCGACGTACTAACTCACGGTGGCTCATTAATATTGCTTAGTAAAAAATAAAATTTAAAGAAAGGAAGGACATAGTGAGCCTCTCTGTGGAACGCCTTATAGAAGTATCTTGTGTGGAGCTGGAGCAATTTATCATTGTTAGTTTGTATAGCCCTCCTTCAGCTCAATATGATAGTTTAGAAAAAATATTGGAGCAGGTTCTGTACAAATTGCAAAAATCCAAGAAAAAATTGATCGTTAGTGGAGACTTTAATGTAAATTTGCTTGACAACTGTAGTTCAAGTAAATGTTTGCTAAATCTGTTTAAATCATATAATTTAATTAATAATTTTATTGTACCAACTAGGGTAACAGCCACCACGGCAACATGTATTGACAATATCTATAGTAATATAGTTCCTCTCAACGCCTGTATTATCAACAAACTTACATCTGACCACTCTGGTCAATTGTTTGAATTTCAAATACTAAAATGTAAAGATCAAAAAAGAAAATATGCACAATTCCTATAACAGAGGATCGGTTAGACAGATTTAGGAAAAATTTGATATTTAAAATGCCATTTTTGCGTAGTAACCAATGCCCTAATAATTTATATAGCACATTCTTTGATTCATTTATTGGTGAATTCAAAAATGTGTTCACTCCAAAGACTTTTTTGGTCTCGGAGAAACCTACCTTTTGTGACTGGGCAACTCCGGAGCTACACAAAAAAAGGCTAAAATTGTATGAGTTGTATGATGAAAAACAGTATAATGACAGTGAAGAATTTAAAACTTATGTTAGGATATTCTCAAAAAGTTTTAGGCAAGAGTGTAGAATCGCTAAGGCGAAACACTTAAGTCTTAGAATAAACAACAGCTCTGATAAGATAAAGGCTACTTGGAAAATTATAAACGAGGAGACTGGAAGAACCTCCAGAAAGGATACTGAATTTAAAGTGAACATAAACGGCAAAGTAATTAGTTCCGACCTCGAAGTAGCCTCTGCATTTGAAGAGTTTTTTACTAACATTCCTTTAAATACAACCAGCGTTTTGAATTCTTCACCATCAGCCGCCCTTTTATTATTGAAAAAGAATGTTCCTGTATGCAATCATAAGTTTGTATTTAGCCGCATTAGCTGCAATGACATTATAAAAACATTTAAACAGCTAAAAATAAAAAAAACTAAAGATCTTTGGGGTGTATCTGTTTTCATTTTACAATCAGTAATCAATACTATCAGTTCAGAGTTGGCTATAATATTTAATGAATGTATAGATTGTGGAGTCTTTCCAGACCAGATGAAGATAAGTAAAATCACACCGTTATTCAAAACGGGCAGCACTTCGGACCCCACAAATTTTAGACCCATATCTGTGCTGCCGGCTTTGAGTAAAATCTTTGAAAAAATCATTCTTGAACAATTATTGATACATTTTAATAATAATAAAATTATGCATAGCCAGCAGTATGGTTTTACAAGAGGTCGCTCCACAGCAGATGCTGGCATTCAATTAATTTCCGAGATTTTAAATGCTTGGGAAAATTCTCATGATGCCATTGGAGTTTTTTGCGACTTATCAAAGGCTTTTGACTGTGTCCATCACGAAATCCTAATCAAGAAACTTCAACACTATGGCATTGGTAAAAGCGCTAAATCTTGTGGAATCATACCTGAGCGATAGAATTCAAAAGGTAAATGTAAATGGAGCTATATCACAGGGATCCTCTGTTACTATGGGAGTACCGCAAGGCTCCATACTTGGTCCCTTCTTATTCCTCGTGTATATAAATGACCTGCCATTTCTTGTAAAGGAGCTTCACGAGATAGTACTGTTTGCTGATGACACTTACGACTTAAAGTGAAACGACAAAATCCATCACTTGATAACGTAAACAGTGCCATCTCCAGTGTAGTTCACTGGTTTAATACAAATAATCTTAAGTTAAACGAAAAGAAGACAAAATGTGTTAAATTTGTAACTACAAATGTAAAAAGTAGTCATTCTCAAATAATAATTAAAGACGAGGAAATAGACTTTGTTGATAATGCGGTGTTCTTGGGAATTACTTTAGATAGTAAACTCCAGTGGGGCCGACACATAGAAGGTCTTTCGAATAGGCTAAGTTCCGCAGCGTTCGCAGTAAAAAAGATACGCGATCTTACGGATGAGAACACAGCAAAGCTTGTTTATTTCAGCTATTTTCATAGTATAATGTCATATGGTGTTATTTTGTGGGGTAATGCAGCTGACATTAAATCGATATTTGTAGTGCAAAAGCGGGCTATAAGAGCGATCTGTGGGTTGTCCCCCCGGGAGTCGGTCCGAAGCAAATTTAAGGAATTACATATTTTGACTCTGGCAAGTCAATACATTTATGAGAATATTTTGTATGTGCGGAAAAATATAGATATCTTTAAAAAGAATAGTAGCTTCCATAATTATAGTACTCGTAATAAAGACAAAATTAGCGCACCAACCAGAAGGCTGCATAAAACGAGTAATTCTTTCCAAGGCAATTGTATACGTTTTTTCAACACAATCCCTAGTGAGATACAAGCGTTGTCAATAAATAAATTTAAATCGTACATTAAAGTAAAACTGCTTGCTAAGGCTTATTATAATATAAATGAATATTTAAACGATCCTAGTGCTTGGATATGAGTTGCTCCAGTATATATTATAGGTAACACGACTGAATCTCTCGGCTGCATTTCCAGACTCTGGGGCGATCGTCAACATCCACGACTGTTTTAATGTGAAGTGGGAACAAACCGTGATCCATGTGGTATCCAATTATTTCAGTATTATTATTATTTTCTTATGTAGCCAAGTCCACATTTCAAGGATCGTCATGCTCGCTTAAATGTCATTGCTTGTGGCGGCGTCCATGCGTCGGGTTGTCTCTCTCCCTAAAATATGGCGAGGGGGCCGATGGCTGGCCATGCGTCATACTCGTGAACGGGTGCTACTTGTGGTGACTGGTCGTACTTGAATTCGTGTATGCGGTGATGTTAATTATTTCGACTATGTGTTTGCGTGTTGTTCCCACGAGAATGTAAGTGCGTGCTCCTATTTCACCATGCCTCCTGCTGATAGGGGACAAGTCTTTGTTTTTATTTATGTTATTATTATTAATTACTAAAAATGTCATGAGGAACATGGTGTAATGGTTGCAGCTCCTTACAAACGTTGTGTAAAAAAAAAAAAACATGGCGATTAAAAAGAGTGGCGGAGAGTTTATTGCCAGTTCTTCTCTTCCGTTCTACGCCCTTGATTTGAGAACTGGCAGTAAATGTAAAATTAGAAGCATTAATATTTATTTTCTTAATGACGAATCACAAGTGTACATTGTGTTACCTACGTGAATAAATGATTTTTGAATTTTGAATTGAACCTACTAGCTTTTTACACCACCACAGCACTTTCAAATTTGCTGACCAGTTACCTGTCCCAAAGAATCTTAGGGACATAGGGCTTTGTCCCTAATATTAGCATGGATAAAATGTAGTACCTAACACATATCGTGTCGTTATTCCGCACTGTGTTTGAGGGTCATTCAAAGGTCAAGATCATTGTTTACAGACCTGTTTTAACTCATTTTTATAAAAATGAAGGTGATGTTGAATTTTTCCTGCTCTTGGCCTACCTTACCGACGATCGTCATTCATATTTTAGTGCTCCGCCTCTGCACATTTGTTCACTTTGCAGCACAGCTCATTATTTCCTTAAAATCTTAAAATGGAAGTCCCACCACTGCAGATTGTCGTCACCGTCACCGAAACCTAAGTCACCAGGCTCGTTTCGCTCAACCTCCGTCGCATCGTTCTCGTCCCCGTGCTCTCGAGCCGCTCACAGGATGGTCGCGAGACACCAACGCGGTCAAGGTCAGCCGGCTTCTCACGAAGGTTGGTTTGGTTATGTACCTACCTGCTTACATCGACCGACGTATTCGTTATAAATTAATTGCGGGTAACCTCAGGGGGCTATCATTATTTTGTGATAAATATTTACCTACGTATAATTACGTGATTTTAGGTATGGTAGATGTGTTGCGGGCCGTCTCTGTGGTTATCTTTTTTACCTAGCTACCTACATACTACGATCGGAGACACAAAAACAATTTGTCGCGGAATTGGACGACGAACTGCTGCAGGTATTGGGAGAAGATCCATCAAAGGCTAATACTCCAGGTAAAGACATACAGTCTGATCTTGGAGTACACCTACAACACATACATCCTGGTTGTCTAAAGAAACCAGAAAAAAAATCTAAATACTTACTGCCAGGGAATTGTACACTAATCAATTCACTTGATTTGAACGCAGACGCAAAGGCCGTGAACTCGGACACGGTTTATAAAAGAGACCAAGGTATCAAAACTAGACAGAAACAAACTGTTACAGCTACTTCTTGTTTAGCAGAGTCACTAACCATGCTCTTGTCTGTGGAAACGAGAAATACGACTCTTATAAAATTACTAATGGCAAGCTGTTATGTGGAAACCAATATCAAGACTCAGTCACATGATGAAACTTTATTCTGTATTACCTTAAAAAAAAGATCTAAAAAAACCACTGCAAGCAACAAATGTGGACAAGTACCTATTCAGTCAGGGATTAGCTAACACTATGAAAGCGGTGAAAGCCATATCTAAATCTGGCGCAGATTTGATACAATCTACCAACACGCAACAAATTAAGAAAAAGACAAGAGCAAAAAGAATTTAAACTGGCGAGCTCCTCTCCCGAATCTCAGGCAGAAAAGGGCATCGAGGATGAATGAGCCTGCTCGAAGCACGCAGCCCGGGAACTACTACAGGCAGTCGTCGCGTCCAGCGATCAGTCAGTTCACTTAGATCTTATCTATATCAGCTAGTTATATAGATAAACTCTTCAACGCCTGTATTCTACACTGCCTAACCTTTGGCTGCGTAACTTGGGCGCTCTCTAACCAGCACAGGGACACACTGTAGGTAGCACACTGCCAAAGATCCATAAAAAGATGCATGCTGATAATAAGAAAATTAGATAAGCAAAGAAACATAGACACAGGAGCTAGAACAGGTGTGACAGACATTCTCACTTCTTAGTGACCAAATGAAATGGAGATGTACGAGTCATATGCTACTGAGCCCCCATGAAAAATTTAACAAAATATTGACGGAACGGTACCCTAGAGACGGTAAACGAAGAAAAGGCCGACAACCCAAAAGATGGGAGGACGACCTCAAATTAACAGTAGGCTACAACTGGGGAAGAGTCGCAAAGGATAGAGGACAGTGAAAAGGGTTAGAGGAGCCCTTGCCAAGAGGCACACCGAACTCCGAGACTAAAGTGACAATATATTAAAGATCACATATCACAGTTTCGGAATATAAAGGCTATACGAGTATTATTGTTATTATAGGTGTATACGGTACATTCTTTACTTAGCACTTTATTTTACACGAGTGCCTACTAAAAATATATTATCATCATTAATAAGTGCGTACTTGACAGGAACTCTTACCGACTACGATTTCTGAAAACGTAACGTCGTTTTATTTACATTATTGATTCTAGTTAAATTTCAGCAAAAGTTCTATATAAATATTAAAAACATTTTCGTTAAAAAGCTTGCTTGTTTTATTCCCATACCCAACTAAATTTTTTTGATAAATTATATAGCTGGTTTTATAGAATGAATTATAACATTAGCACATTTATCTCTATACGTCGGGAGAAAAATAATTGTAAAATTTACAAACTCGTGTAGTTTGCCACCTAAAGATGTTTACAACTAAACTAGGACCGAGATTTTGATTAATTACATTATTGAGGATTATGAATGATTTTAACTAGTCCGTGGTATCTTTGGTAGTAATATGAATTATGACATAGTTACTATAAAGTAACAAAAATAGAAAGGCCTTATTTATAATAATACTAGCAGACCGGCCAAGCGTTGCTGTGGCTAAGGTTTTTGTTATATTACATAGTAGCAAACTATTCAAGGAAAACGGTAGAAGAACACCAGACACGGGGACCACCATGCTTTTTTGGTGGTTATGCCATTAAATTGTAGCTTATGTGAAACGTTGGTACTTTCAACACAGCGCCATCTGTAAGAATTGTGACTATCAAATAATAAACAAATATTTTGCAATAAAATAATATTGCGGGTATAAATTGAGATGTAAGCTATCCTATCTTTTAAGTTGGATCAAACTACACACGGTGTGCAAATTTGATTGATATCGGTTTGGTAGTTTAGGAGTCCATAGCGGACAAACAACGTGAGACGTAATTTATATATATTAAGATTATTAAAACTCGGATTATTATTTTCAAATTACCAAAACTGTATGATAAAACTATTCTGTATTAAAAAAGTGTCAATGAAGTTGTGTATCCTTAATTCTCTTCTATATTTGTTATTATTTTTCTCATCAAATATATACTTACCATGAAGTATATAAATCGATTTCAAACACAATTTCAAGTCATAATATTTCAGTGGTGACCCGGCTAACATTGGTGGCAATAAAATGTATGTATATATAAATATTTTTTACTGAATTAACAAGAATAGATTGACCGTTAGAAGTGTGTAAGTTCAAGGTATTATTTCTATTATATTAATAATAAAAGGTTTTTTTCCAAAACAAAAAATCCATACATGTGGTTAATTAATATCCCGTAATAATGATTGTTTTTCACGAAACATAAATCCGATATTGTGAGTGTAAGTAATGGAGGTAATTTTGAATAGTCGTATAATTATAATATCATTAAATAGAACACGATTAGGAAAGGCTATACACACACTTTACTGACAGCGGTACCGTTAATAAAACCGTTATAAAGCAAGCTTAACGAAAATTAATGTGCGACTGATTTTGGAAAACCAAACCATTTGCCGGATTATCATAGTAAATTATTTGAAATAAAGGTAAACCGTTTGTATTTTCAGTGAAAGACATTTTTGAGATTTCGATAAGTCTATGGTAAAATTATAATGTGTACAGTACTAACCTAACCTAGACCGTTGCAAGACTAAGTCAGCTAATACCTGCAGCTGAGTTTCATTATCGGATGTCAAGGCAAAATACAAAATACCATCCGTATCTCCTCGACATCCATCGTTTCACAACTAAGCGTTTCCTAAGGCAGTTTTTGCCGCGCACCACCACTATGTGGAAACCAGCTGCCAACTGAAGTATTTCCGAACCAATTCGACTTAGGGTTCTTCAAGAAAAGAGCGAGCCTTCTGGCAATGTGAGTGTCCATGGGCGGCGGTATCACTTAACATCAGGTTAGCCTCCTGCCAGTTGCCTCCTATTACATAAACAATTGCTATTTCTAAACGTTTTGTAAAGTCTGATAAACTTATGTAAAAATCGAATCATGAGACTCCACCGAGGTAGACTTAAGTCAGCAAAACCTTCATCTAAATTGACGTAACGTAATATAAATTAACCCTAGGGTATTAGTGAAAATACACTTATTTTCATTACAGAATGATCGGTGTGCTTATAAGCGCAATAGTGGTGTGTTTAGTGACATGGGTGTACCTGCGTTGGAGAAGCGTGAAACAATATTGGGCAAAGCGTGGAGTACCATTTCTGCCTCCACATGCAATATTTGGAAGCTTGACATTCTTACTTAAAAAGAACCCGGTATGTTTCAAGGCAATCAAGGCAAACGTCGCTTTTTATCTTTGTTTTATCTAATCATCATAATACTCATCAATGTAAACCTTTCGAATTGCTGAACTACTATCGTAATCCGTTACTTTTTTCCTTCGACTTCACCTTTGTAGAATAGTATTAAATCGTCGTATGGAACGGTTTGTTCAATTGCTCTTCTCACCTCGATGAATCCGAGTATATCCCATTTTATGTTTTGAAGGGCAAGTTCGTTAGACTTACACTGGTACATTTAAGGTTTCGATTTTAATTTCAATATGACTGTGGCGGTTTGGGTATTAGAGTTTCGGCGTTGATCGTCTACGGCGGTGGTCACCTTGGGTCGTTTAACTTTTTTAAGGGGCGACCGCCAGGAGTAGACCACGTAATCCCAGAAATGCTTAAAGCTGCTGCCATCTACCTCTACTCAGCTCTAGCAACAGTCTAATAAAGTGACAAGCTTACCAGTAAAGTGCTATAAACTAGTGAACAACGATAAAAGTGAAGAAACATCTATCTACCTTCCTCGCATTCACACATATTATATTAAGTGTGTCGGTTCGAATCACGTCGGATCCATACATTTTTTATTATTATTATTTTTTCTGATAATAGAAAACGACAATGTTATAATAAGAAGAAAACAAAGAAGATCTATTGAATCCCTTAACCTTTCATCTAGTTCTGCACAATCGAACTATATGAACATTCCGAATTATTGGAGCAAATAAAACAAATAAAATTAGAATTAGATTCAGAACACCAAAGAATTGAAAACCTATTACTTGAAAATTTCACGAAAAATCTTGAAATTTTAAAACAAAAGGAAACTATAAATAATCTAAAGCAAAATTATTCTTCACCTTCTTATAAATATATTACTACCAACACCTTACTACAAAAGCAAAACCAAGAAAATGCGGAATTCGCCTGTAGTTCCTTCCCTTCCAAATATAAGGAACATAAAAAGCGCATTATGCACGAATTTATCCCAAATATTGAAAACCACAATCAGAATATAAAGGAGCTGCCAATAAATGTCACTATAAGAACAACAAAATTGGTTATTCAAAACGATAATGTCATGACTTTAAATGGTCAAGCAATAGAAAATCAACCCAAAATAATATTTAGGGATCAGCAAGCTTGTGGCTTGACACATCTTAATATATATATTTCTTCTGTGCGTGTGTATGTGACTGAACTCCTCTCAAACGACTGGACCGATTTTGATGAAATTTTTTGTGTGTGTTCAAGGGGATCTGGGAATGGTTTAGATTCACAAATCAGCCCGGCAGATGGCACTGCACTCGGTACTTTCATACTTTGCTTAATATCCTAATCGCTTTAAATATCATGCAGGACAACGTCTGTGGGGTCCACTAGTAAATTAATAAAAGCGAAAGGACAATTACAATATTACTTCATTTATAAAGCCCTATGCTACGAGCGCACAGAGTTTGAGTAGTTGTTGTTAGTGAAATTAATAAGTCCATTCTTAAACCCAAAGACATTATAGTATTAATAATAGGTGCAAACGATAAACGTCCGTATACCTTTATTCTTTATCTCACAATTGTGTAATGTGTTATATCAATGCGACAGCAAAATGGTGTCCACGTTACGGAAATCGTGGTAAAGGATGACCACATACGCGATGGGACATTTCTTTTTCTGTGTAATTTAAGGTATAACTATGGAGTGCCGTGATATTTTGATTAGGTACATTAATTTATTATTATTTACCTATGTAAAGGCACAAGTTGAGAGGTGATCGGGTTTGTAAATTCTGGTTTACTCACTACGTTTTACTTCAGAGATCCTGCGTCAGAGTTCTGATGCAGGATCTGTCTTGATAACCACATAACCTATAGACTATGAATTAATCGAGATTTTTATTCAGGGAACGTGGATGATCGAAATGTATCAGCGTTTCCCTAAAACACCTGTCATTGGGATCTGGCTGTTCTGGAGACCAGCTCTGATAATTACCACACCGGAATTGGCAAAACGGATCCTCCTGAAGGACAATCACGTGTTCAGGGATAGGTTTATGAGCGGTGGTACACACGATCCCATTGGCTCGCTTAACATTTTAACCACCAATGTAAGTATTTATCTACTATTATTATAAAGCTTAAGGGTTTGAGCCAGCATCAGGAAATTTGTATAACTTTCTACCATTTCAATTTTAAAATCTCATTCTGTACTAGGCCATTTATCGAGGAAGGTTTCGTTTTCATCGATAGAGACTTCTGAGTAATATTAAGGATGAAATATAACAATTATTGTTGAAAAGCTTGCAAAATACCTTGCTTAAAAAACACACGAGCTGCAGCCGGAATCTGGATTAATAATAAAAATGTGGTATGACAAGTAAAAATATAACCGAGAGAATCGTGTATTTTAGGATCCTTTATGGACGGTAGTTCGTCGTCGGATTTCAGCAATTTTCACTGCATCTAAATTAAGAGCTTTACAACCTCTAGTCGACACAAAGTCAAGCCAGTTGATAACTCGAATCAACAACACCAAAGATTACAGCAAACTCAATTTGAGAGTAAGTAAAAACATTAGTAATATAATAATTAGGTAGATATTAAAAACTGCATTTACTTTGAAGTATAGCACAACGAATGTGATATTATTTCAATGTTGAATGTTGCAATTGGGACTGTATTAGTTATCATGTACCTAAACAGTTAAGATTTTATTTTTTATCAAGAAAATTTCCGGTTCTTCTAATAGTTTTTCAATATTCTCCATAGTTGAGGTTTTAGCCCATACCTTCAACTAGATTTTCAGTAGAGAATAGATTATAAAGACTAATCTCTCTTAGCAGTTTCTATACATTTAGTACCTTCCAAAACCGAATGATTGAATTAGAAAAAAAATATTTAACTGCCAGTTCATAGAAATTAAATCGAACTTGCTACAATGTTTGTGCCAAAACACCTATGGATGGCTATTATAATATTTGCGTATTAACAGAAATTGTTTGCGGACTACGCCACGGATGTATTTGGAACAGCTGCGTTTGGCGTTGAGACACACGCTTTACGCACCGGAGAGGATCCAATGAGAACTATAACAGAGGCCTACATGACCTTTGATTGGTTCAGAGGCCTCTGCTGGGGCAGCATATTTTTCATCCCAGAGTTGACTAAATTCTTCAAGTAAACCTATTACCACTTAAAATTACACACATACAGTATAAGAACTTATATTTCTAACTACCCTCGAGATGTTGAAAATCTCATTATGGCCGGATTTATATCTAAGTTATGCCTTAAAGTTAATTTACAGTCTAATGTAACTAGTACATTGGACAAAGAATCTCGACTTCGTTTCTATTACTTGCCACTCACAACTTACGTCTGATATCGGTGTTGTTATTTGCACCATCGAATCCGAAACTAGCATTGCTCCAATATAAATGTATTAATATCAAGTATGCATATAGTATTATATATCAAGTATTCACATACCTATAGCATATATTATTATAAATTTGAAGTTTCTTTTTCTTTATTTTTTTTCAGTTTTACATTATTCCCAATTTGGGCGACAGATTACTTCAAAAAAGTGTTTGCTATTGTCGTTGCTCAGAGGATAGACAAGGTTATCAAAGACCCTAAGGACCTGGTAGATGCTTTACTAAAAATGAAGCAAGATGGCCCCGTAATAGATGGAGTAGGTGAGTCAATATAGTTATAATTGCGTTATGTGTAGCGTGCTCCTATTCTGGCCAAATAAGAAATAGCACAGAAATGCTAATATGAAAAAAGTATTGACTGTGTAGGGGTTTATGTATTACACACATTTGTGTTGCGACAATGTGTAGCGTACAATTGGTAGCGCCGGATGTTCTTCTCACACGCAATAAATTATCAGTTGCGGATTGTCTTTAATTGTTTGTCTTTAAATACCTAAATCAACTCAGCTGCGGATATGGTGGCGATTGCTTTGACATTAAAAATTCTAGACCTATGGATGGATCAGCCACAGTTCATTTAGGAAGTTTGTATGCTGGCACCTCAAAAGCTTTCAGATGAGACTAAGTAATCATCGAGTTGAATGCACTCATCGAACCGCGAATTCAAGGCCCTGAAAAAGCGTCTTCTGTTCGTTTAAGGGAATCTAAGAAACGTTAGCGTCATAAGTTTGTCAGAGAGATGGAGCTTGGTGAACAAAAGCCTTCGCAAGATTAAAGGAAGACGCCGAGGATAAGATTCCTAGTGACACATTGAAGCTACTCTGGCAAAAATGTCTGCCTATTTATTATTATTTCGGACATCAAGACTAATGCACAGGGGGCTGACGGAATTAATAGGGATAAGTTAATTTTAACGCTTCCTATTACTCTAAAGATTATAAAAGCCATAATAAACAAATCTCATTTGACCTACACCTTTCCATCACAGTGGAAGATAGCCCTTTTTCGGCCAATTCCTAAAATAAAAAAATCCAATAAAACTCAAAGACTTAAATCGCTCAAAATTCTCCCTTGCCTTTCAAAGATCCTGGAACGAGAAGTTTACAACCAAGTTATCAAGCATTGCGAAGCCTGTAACATACTACCTGCATTACAGTCAGGTTTTAGAAAACTCCGCATTACCACTACTGCATTTCTTAATGTAGTGGATAACTTGGTCTCAGCTCAAGACGAAGGCAACCCGTCCATCCCCACTTTTTTGACTTCTCTAGAGCTTTTGAATGTATCAATCTTCCTCTTCTTATTTCTAAGCTGCGTTTCTATGGTCTTGACAATATATCTACTTCGTGGTTTAGTAGTTATCTCCAGCAACGATATCAGAGAGTGTGTTTTTAAGGATGTGATGGGATCCGTGTTTCATCGTCTCTGGGCCTTGTCGACAGAGGAGTTCCTCAGGGATCTATTTTGGGACCCGTCTTATTTATCATATATTCGGCAGACATAAATTCATGTATACAAAATTGTCACTATCACTTATACGCTGAGGACCAGCAAATATATCTTCCTGTTGATAGGGCTTGTGTCAATGACTGCACCCGAAAATTAAATAAGGACTTGGAACGATATTCTGATAAGTCCCATAGAAACGCACTCCTCTTAAATCCTTAAATAAATAGTAACACCTATTCACAAGGGCGGAGATGGAAATGTTGTTCAAAACTATAGACCACTTTCAATATTACCAGCATCTGGAAAAATGTTTAGTCTCTTATTCCCCAGATAAATTTTTGGCGTGTAAAACATAATGCACACCCGGCAATGCATGCCAAATAAATCGACCACTTTCTTTTGAGGATATAACGAAAGGAATCGATAACGGGCAGGAAATCCATGCAATTTACACCAACCTAAGAAAGGCATTTGACCTCCTCTGGCACGACTGCAGAATATCTTTTCCGTGGTCTATCATGGGTAACTGTTAAGATGGTGCGACTCGTAATTACAAAAATTGGACACAACTGGTAAAAATGGAGAGGACATGTCTCTAATGATCAGCCAATACCTACTGACGGGTATAACAAGGATCGCATGTAGGGCCTTTATTCTTTATCATATTTGTCAATGACTTAGCATAAAGTTTAAAGTGCAATTTTAAAATGTACGCTGATGATTTTAAATTATTCCAACTTATTCAGCAGGATACCGAGATTAGATTTCTGCAGGAGCAACCAAACAAAGTAAACACATGGTGTGGGCTGAACAAAATGATTTAAATTGATACATTTTTCGAGAAAATGAAAATAATGACTTGTGTTCAAGTATTGTAGTCATATAGCCTCTCCACTCCCAGCCTACCCGCGGCGACCTCTGTTACGTCGAATATGGCTGAGAGATAGGTGGTCCGGACACACAAAGTCACTTAGCCCGAATGACGGAAGCGTTGACAGCAGGGCACTCTTGATCACAATAATTCATTACTACGGTGAAGAAGACAAGGGGAAACCTCTGCGCTATTTTTCCATGAAACTTGTCATGAAATATGCTTAATAAAAAGAGACTGACGGCACACCATCCGGCTACCGCCCAGCGCCATGTCGAGTCCAGGCTGCAGGAAAAATGGTACTAGTTTCATGGTATGGAGCGACTCACCAGGCTCAGTGTTCACAGCACACTACTGATGGTAACAGTGCACTGTCCCAACCTGAACCAGCTTCAGCTAAAAACTGACAGCATACTTGAAGCGGGAATAGTTTAGATCATAGATTAAGAACAGTCATACTACCAACTTTAGGTTCTTGGAATTACTGAAACACACAAGAGAGGTTCAAGCTTCAGACCTCGTCATGGACATCGTCATCTTAGAGAAGTTGTTGGAAGGTATGGACTAGGAGAAAGAAATGAGAGAGGTGAGACGTGGCAACAATTTTGCGCTGAAACCTCCTTGACTATCATCAATACATGTTTCCAGAACCATCCACGTCGACTGTATGCCAGGTTGGCATGACCGGGCTAGGAATCAGGTAGATTATATTGCAACGGACATACTCATACCCATAGACATACCCCGGAGCTAAGTGCGCAAACGCAAGCACACTATTGGTGACCGAGATACGGATTAACCTATAGAGATGCACAAGGCACACAGTTAATAGTCTCGAACGACCAACTCCACAAGACCAAACTACTATAGAGGAAGTCCTTAATAACAAAGCTTCGTATCTTGAGACCAATGCAGACCGGGATACAAATAGGAGGTGACTAAGGAAAATCATTACTCATCATCACTTATTATGGTTCAGACACCGCACTCTTTTCAAAATGCCTCCACTTTATACCAACTATAGGGAAAATAGATTCATGATTCGAAGTGTACAGACCTACAACCAATATTCAACCCAGTTTGCCATCGATCTTTTCTGTTCTTCCATTGACTCGGTGAGACGCACACTCAATCCAGCTATTGCCATTAGAATAGATATAAATTTTAATCTTCTGCTTTTTCATACTTAATTTTTTATTTACTAAAGTTCTTTAATTGTTTCATAGTATTATAATTTCATAAATGTTAATTTTATTTTTCCTATCTCCTTAAGGTGTTTATGGATTATCTATAGGTGGAGATTTCTAATTATTACTGATTTTATTTTATTGTAATCATAATTTACCTTCTGTAAAAATACGGTATATCTTCCTAAATTGCAATAAATAAATAAGAAGTCCGAGAAATTCCAGTATCAAAATATATCGGCGAAATCCCAGACCTTAACATACCAAAGATTTGTTTCTAAAAGTGAAAAGCATTATTCTGGAATGTAGACCAAACAGCTTCTTACCGAGTTTGATCAGGTAACTGATAGGTGGCCATTATACTGCCAAAACTTAAACAAGGACACTAGGACATCTTATGAGTCACTGACGCCGAGTGAGAACCTTGAGCCTGATATATTGGAATCTGAGATTAAGGAACCTCTTAGGAAAATTAAAGTAAACGAGTCAGCGGGAAGAGACAATATATTCGCTGGAGAACTCAAAAACCTCGGAGAAAAATGTTTAAAATTCATGAAAGACTTATGTAACCAGATCTGGGAATCGGGCAAGTGGCCAAAGGACTGGGAAGAATTTGTGCTAATACTGCTACACAAGAAAGGCTCGACAAAGTGCGAAAATTATCGAACAGTAGTTCTTATATATAGTTTCCGGGCGGTTACAATCATATCTGCAGAGAGAAATACTCAACAAACAGGCCGGTTTTGTCAAAGGTCCGAGGACGCGGAAACAAATTGGAAACGCCAGGAATCTCATAGAAATGAGCCGTGAATTTAATTATGTGTTTTCTCGATAATTTGAAGGCTTTCGACTGCGTACGATGGGATAGCTTATAGAAAATCCTTAGCTCAGAGGTGGGTGTTCTATAGCACTTAGTGGAACTGATTGCCAGCCTATATGAGAAGGGAAAACGAAATCAGGGTAAACGACATAGAGTCTGCGCCTTTCAAACCGCAAAGTCTGTCAGTCTCCTCTTCTATTCCATATTTATGGCGATTTTATTATGAGGGTAGCGCTGGAAGATTGGGACGGAGGCATCTCGATTGGAGGCACAATCAGCAAACCGATACACAGATGACACAATGTTATTTGCCTCCTTGGAACGGGAAATGGCGGAACTATTTACCTACCACTACCAGAGTGCAACAAGCAAACCAAATGGTATTACCTATTACTCTCTTTTAATAGACTGTATCATGTTCAAAACAACCTGCTGGTGCGTAATTATTATATGTGTTTAAATTGTGTATTAATTTTTTTATTATAGTCTGGGTTTATTGCAACGTAACGTGTAAAGAATAAATTATATTTTCATTTTGTTGAACATGAATTTTATATTATTATCGTGTAACGCGACACGCTTGCATTCGTCTTATTTACATTGTACAAGTTTTTTTAAACTGATAATTCTATTATTATTTTTAAGAAAATTATATGCACTTTTTTTCCTAGAAGGGGGATAGTATAAAGGTACACACATTTTGAATTGCGATAGTGTGTAGGGTACAATTGAAATTAATTATTAGTTGCGGTTACCGCGACATATGCAACACCTAAAATGTGAAATTGACTTTCAGTAATCACTGACGATGTTATAGTTTCGAATGCGGCGACAATGCTTCTAGGAGGATTTGAAACAACAGGATCTGTACTCACTTTTACTTTGTACCATTTGGCGTATGAGCCCGAAATTCAAGTAAGTTTCAAAGAAATAAATAAAAAAAATTAGTGGCGCTACAACCTCTTTAAGTCTTGGCCTCAGATTTCCGAATCTGTTTCATGGTCATTTTTAAATCTAATAGGCAAGTGGGTGTTTGGCCTCCAGTGCCTGACACACGCCAGTGACTTTTTGGGTCTAAGACGTGTCGGTTTCCTCACGATGTTTTCCTTCACCGTTCGAGCAAATGTTAAATGCACACATAGAAAGAAAGTCCATTGGTGCACCGGATCTATCCTCCGACCTCAGGTATGAAAGTCGCACGCTGAAGCCACTAGGACAACACTGCTCATTCAAGGATGTCTTATTAAAGTCTATAATTGCCTACACACAGACGCATCCCTCATTCTTACAGATTCGAATTACGTTTGAAGAGCTGGTATATAGTTAGTGGTGTAATACAACTATAGCTCTTACACTAAGGAATGTATTATCATTCCAGCAAAAATTATATGAAGAAGTCTCGAAAAGTAAAGAAGAATATGGAAAATTTGAAATATCGACACTCTTGGAATTACCTTATCTAAATGCTGTTATCAAAGGTAAATGGAATTAAATTCATTAAGTAACAAATAAGAGATACAATGTTCAATCAGAATATTTGAAATAAATCAAGTATTAAAAGTAGAATTTATATTTCTTGTTGGTTTCATTGCTGTGTTTAAATCGACGATATGAAAGTTTGCGGTTTTGCGCTATTTAGTTTGCATAATTGTATTATTTTAGGTAACCCAAACAACCGGAAATTCTTGTTTACGAGTTTTTGAGTTACGAAAGAATTTTTCTTCACTTACTATATAAAGCTTACACTTTGCTCTGTATAAGTGACGATAGCTTATTAGTTTTCCTAATATTCTTTCAGAGACACTACGGCTCTATCCCCCAATGGGTTGGCTCGATAGAATACCGTCACAAGACTACCAAATTGATGAAAATTTAACAATAAAAAAGGGCACACCAGTCTATGTAAACAATATCGGCATGCAATATGACCCCAAATACTTTCCAGAAACATTAAAATACGACCCAGAAAGGTTTATGCCAGAAAATGAGCAAAATATTACACCATTTACATATTTACCATTCGGCGAAGGACCTAGGATGTGCGTAGGTAATTTTATGATATCATTTAGGTCAAAATAAAACAAAATAAATTTTAACAAAACTGTGTAAGTACATAGGTACTTAAATAATAGCAGGCTAGTACTTAAAAAAACGTTGCCGATACATTATTTTTATAAAATTTAGCAACACATTTTACTCGTTTTAAAAATTTTTGGTGTAATCGTTAATCCAAAAAAATCATTGAATTATTATTTTCTTCAGTCAGGTTATGTTTTAAAAAAAAATTACTAACCTATTTTTTATCTAATATATCAAATTCTCGTGTCACAGTGTTCGTTCCCATACTGCTCCGAAACGGCTCAACCGATTCTCATGATTTTTTTTATGTATATTCAGTAAGTCTGAGAATCGGACATCTATTTTTCATCCCCCTAAATTTTTATTTTTTTTATGATACAGCATACAAAAATACAGACAAGCCTTAATTGTCACCCCTCTACGATCAACCCCTATTTTTATTATAGTAGATAGTTATTTTTATTGAACTAAAAAAAATGTCTAGAGATAATATACATGGCAAAACGACGTTTGCCGGGTCAGCTAGTTATACTATAAAACTAACAGTCGGCATCTTAGTCATCTTAGGTTTGCGGATGACATCACTATTTTGGCAGAAACTCCCAAATAATTAGAAGCATCGTTTCGTCCCTAGACAAGGCGAGCTCTTTTCTTAAAATTAACGCAACGAAGACCAAGATAATGATCAACAGGCGAAAGCCAAATTTTAATATTAGAGGAAATAAAATATGTTACAAAATATACCTATTTAGGAAAACAAATATCCTTTTTATGGTATCAAAAGCTTGGAATAGGTACTGGTCATAAAAATAAATTTTAAAAGTAAACTACAGCCTAGATCTAAAAAAGATTGTTATGGACACTAGCAACCTCCCATGCATGGTCTACGGCAGCCAAACCTGGACGAAAGCGTGAAAAAGGTGACTAGTGCCCAAAGAGCAATGGAGCGAAGCATTCTAAAAATAAAAAAGATCCACAAAATTCGAAGTGACCACGACCACGTCATGGCGAAAACTATCACACTAGATCACCGATGCGCTAACCCATATTGCAATAATAAAAGATGGAGAAGACTACAAAAGCGATGGGCTGACTTAGTTAAGGTTTATGGGGAGAATTGGGTGGAGGAAGCTAACAACAGATCCAAATAGAAAATTCAGGAGGAGGCCTTTACCCAACCAATACTGCAGAACACAAACAAACGGAAATAACAATAACTAACGTAGACTAAGAGTATTTATAACAAAACTAACAACTATGTAATGAAATTTTTTGTACAGTATAATTAAAGTGGCTTTATTATTATTATTATTTACTATAGAACGTATCAAACATACCAACCCATATAAATGTAAAATTTATCTTTCAGGAATGAGATTTGGTTTAACGTCCGTTCGTCACGCATTATCGAGTTTGGCATTGAAATACAAATTCGAGCCAATACCAGGAGCGCCGAAGCCTACAGAAGTAGAATTTGAGAAGAAGGGTCTTTTCTTGGTCCCTGGACAACATATGGCCATTAATTTTATACCTAGAGACATCTAGGACATTCTCCTTAATATATAGAATTCTAAAAAATCGAACTTATAGATTATTAAGCTGTTTACATATTATAGCAGTATATTACGGTGTTTTGATGTAGTTAATTTTATTATTACATCATTCTTAAGTGTTATTTTTAACGATTAATGTTAGTACTATTGTATGTGAACTGGAAGTTGTTTGACCATATTGAACTAATTTTGGATCCTTTAAGAACTTCCGAAAAGGGCGACGTACTCGCGAACGAATGTATGTCAGGGTTACCAGTTTATCCTAAAAAACATTAATATGTGTCGTGTATAAAGATGTAATTAACAAAACAATTTTAATAAAAGCCTTTATTATCAATTTGTTGAGTTATCGTAAAAATAAAATACTTGCTATGTTATCGTTTATTTTTATGTTTAGCAAAAAATTTTGCTAAACTGCTAATCGTTTGTCCAAAACTGCAATTTGAGATTAATGATTTCTGTAATAAAAAATTATAAAAAATCTAATATCACACGGTAATTTGTCTCCATCAATCTTTAACAACAATGGGGCCGTTTAAATATTACGTAAGCACTATAGGGGGGGGCGGTCTTTGATTTTCTTATTTGGTGATTACGTCAACAGTATTTAATTTTTTACACATATTACCCACAATATCTATGCTTGAAAACGAAATGCATTATCGAGGATTCCTAAAAAAAATTATACGTTTATGTACTATTGTTGAGAGCTTTGCTTACTTTTGCTGACAAGAGGAAGGGGGGAGGGGATAAATTGCAGTAAATCTGCTTACGTAATACTTGAACGGCCCCAATATATTGGATATAGGCATTACAACACGAGCAAATATACGAAAAAACAGCCCTTAACTTGTAACTTTCAATAGCGACGTTGAAATTCGATGTATATCTCTCAACATCCGTAGGCCTGGAGTCGCAACCGGTATCACTATTGAAAGCTAGAGTAGGGCTTATTTAAAAAATCTTGTCAGGCACACGTCCAAAGATGTGAGATTTCATTACGATATCCTATACAAACCTGAGGTCATGCATTCGAATCACGACACAATAGACAATAAACACTTGTAAAACCGGCATGTCATAGACACCTTCATATCTATTAATAAGAAACAGGCACAGAAATCTAAAGCTGGCTTCACCCTATGCCGGGGTAGGCCGGGCGGGCTGACCCGGGTGGCCTAAGCCGCGTTGATGTAGACGCCCCGAGCGGCTTTGCCGGGTTAGAAAATGCCGGCCCGGGCCGTGCCGATCCCAACCCGCATAAAGTAGGTACAGATCAAAGGAAGCCGAGCCGAGCCGAACAAAAATATAGAGTGGGGACGTGCCGAGCGGCCCCGAGCGGCTTTAGTTACAATTAAACCTCCGACCGAACTAGACGAATTATTTTATTTTCGATTCAGTTTGTTTAATTTAACACTAACACTTTAAAAAAAACTTCTAAAAAGTCCTCTTCAACTAAGTCACCAGTCTTGGTGTTGAAACTAAATAATGTAGGTAGAAATAACCCGGTCGGCTTCGTTTTCGGTGTGGACGTCGTGCCGGCCCGAACGTACGCGCCAGGCTTAGCCCACCCGGGTCAACCCGCCCAGCCTACCGCGGCATAGTGTGGACCCTGCTTAAGACATACTAAGAGCTACTGGTTAATAACTGACTTCAAAAAACCATAGGTCTACTTGTATTTTTAAATTTAAATTACTAAATTATTTTTATATTTAATTAGTAAATTAGTTTTAACTTACTTATTAGTCTTAAGTTAGGCTAGATCGTAATGTAAAACGATGTTTGTGTACAGGCAGTGTAGAAAAATTTAAATTATTAAGCCGGTAACAAAAATGCCTAGTTAAAATTATGTACAGATGATTTTATACAATGTACCTGTACAAACGAAGGCAGTGCTGTGATAGTCTGAGTTCTTGAATACCTTTCATCCACTAACAAAACTGTCGCATAGTCATTCGCGTGACGAACGGCCCGCCCTGTTTAATCATTCAATCAAATCACTTACATGCCATCCAGTAGATGGCGGTAATTGTTAATAATATTTTTTTTAAATATAGAGTGGATTTTAGTAAAACTTCTGTATAATATATTTTACAATAAACCATAATCAATATTTGTATTGTTTTTAAATTAAATAAGTTTATCAAAGCTAATAAAATAAATTTTAATTGGTCCTTCGAGCCGGATATGAATGAAGATTTTGCTAAGATGAAAAATGTTTTGATTCATTAACCTTAAATCAAAATCGGCTCATGAAAAACTAGCTACTTCATATACTATTCCTGAACTTTACCATTTTCGATTAAACTCTTATTAAATAGATACCATCTGTGGGCTATATTTACAAAGTATACCTCTAAATATTGAAAATTTATTCTAAATGATCCTCCTAACAGCTCTAACTAAAACCCGTGAATCAAACATCAACACAATGGGCATAAAACGACAGTTTTGACGGCACTCGAACGTTGATTGTGACTTGAGATATGTTTCTAAATAAACCTCTATATTTTAAGTAAAGGTTTTATGCTATAGCTTCCGTTCCACCTTGACGTCTGGAGCTCCACGACAGAGCGCTTTTAAAGACACTTCTTGCCACCACTACTTTATGGCACCAGCTGCCATACCACGTTACGGCTTAGAGCCCTTCAAGAGATGAGCGTACCTTACAAGCCGGCAACGCACTTGCAAACCTCCCGTGTGTGTTGCGTGTGTCCATGGGCGGCGGTAAGCACTTAGTTTAAGCGGACCAGCTACTCGTTTGCGTCCTGTTCCAATAGGTGAAACTTACCTATACATTGATTGACAGCCTTCATACACAGGTTTTCGTAATAAACGGCGCCAGCGCCCGGCGTGGCTCGGTTCAAAAAGGCCATTTTCTCTTGTAGCTCTGGAGATTTAACGTTGGGGTACGGCATACCAATCACTAGCACACAACGACCCAGCTCATCGCTAAATAAAACTCAAAATTTTACTAACCAAATATCCGTCATAAGTTCACATACATACGTAAAAACATTATCAATTATCACATAGTCATTAATTTTAATTAAGTTGTGAATCGTCAACACTAACATAATAGATTATGTTTATATCTGTATTATGTTGAATAAGTATTTCTTTTATATTTCGATAATTATTGTTTTCCAGAAGACCGAATTTCATCCCTCAAACTTTAAATTGAAATAACTCAAAATCTACTGACTTGGAAAAGGTGTGTATTAACACCTAATATTTTTTGTATTATTCATTAAATATTCTATTTGATACTGGTTTTGAGAAATAAGGCATGCACAAACAAAATTTAGAATAACAGTTTTTTAACGGATTTGAAGTTATGTTTTAGTATACATTTACAATTATTTTACATAATTTTAAATTTAGACGACGTTTCGCGTGCTTTACAGCGTGCGTGGTCACGGTGACTGTAAATATATATATAAAATAATTAAACACTAACTAAAATAATTAAACATAAAACTTCAAATCCGTTAAAAAAGTGTTTTTCTATGTCTAAAAGTTATGTCAATTAAAGACAAACAAAATTTACCTAAAATTTAGTCCTTCACTTAGTTTTCCCCCGACCACACTTAATAATAATGCACCATTTTGTTCTGAATGTTTTGCGTTCACTGCGGAAGCGAACTTTTGAAGTACCTACAAATAATTAAAAGGTGCTTTTATTTCGGGTACTAATGGGACTAATGTTGCATTCATTAAATTATACTTTAGTCTGCGGAAAGAGAAACTGTGGACTTAATTTTAATGCACAGATCCGTTACGAGAATTATATTAATTTCATTCGGACTATGAGTATTTTGTCAATATAAAACGGTAATTTAGTAGTAGTCCGGTCTATTTACACATTCAAGTTTACATAAATTCCCATAAAGCTGAATATTGGCATAGTTGTTCAAAACATCATTATAAAGAAAATCTCAAAAGTCCTCATCGTTCCGAGGTGTGCTAAAAATTTGGCACGGGGTCAAAGGTCAAAAAAAATGAGTTTTTTTGCGATTTTTAGCGAAACGGTGAGTTTTTTCGCAAAATTACCCCAGTACAAAATTGTAGATCACAAAATTCTCTACAAAAAATATATCAATAATTTTTTTCCTAAAAGCCACCATTTTGGAGATATAACGTTCCGAAAAGTTGGATCAGTCGTAATCCCTCTATTTTGCACACGTTTCCACGCCACCTATGAGGTAGTGTACAAAGCGCGTTTTTTTTAACGTGGTTTCCCCAGTAGGCCTATTCCACGGGTCTGCTGAGATTTTATATGTTTTAAAACTATTGCAAAATAATATTATATATTATAGTGGGCAAAAACAACGGCGGTGTAATTAAATAAAATACTTAAAATAAAAAGTTAGTCGTCTGATTCATAACTGTCCAAGATTTCTGTTTCTTCTTCTTCTTGATCTTCTTCTCCTTCTTCTTCCTGTTCATCCTCTTGTTCTTCTTCTTCTTCTTGTTCTATTTCACACGTAAACTGCCCCAATAGCGATTCCTGATCGGTATCAAACGAATCTTCAAGAGTTGGTGACTCAACATTCGAGCATGATCGGCCTTGACAGTGTGTGCATGCCAGGGAACAAAACAGTCCAACTTTTCTGCAACCACATTTTGCACTACACCCTTTCTTGCAGTTGCAAAATATTGTGTTGAGAAGTTTCTCAGGTGCTGGTGGAAGTAAAGTTTGAACTGGCTCTAGTGTATTGTCGATCAACTTCCAACCCCAGTCTTTAGGGTCCAGCTGATTACCAAGCCACACTTGAACTTGGTAATATACCCGAAACAGATGTTGATGAGCAGCTACTGAGGTTGGAGGAAGAGAAGCTAAGTTGACTTGTTTTTTATTACGCGTATTTTTCACGAAAGATGTGTATCGCAACTTATCTAAGCAAGTGGTTTTTTTGGGGGCTCCGTACATAGCAAGAAGAAATTGAACTCCGTTGGTGATAACATGTTGTTGAGTTGAATTACTATTTTTAAAAACTTCAGCACATTGTAGTAAATCTTTTTTTTCAAACATTTTGAAAACTGTTGTTTTTCCTCTCCTGTAAAAAAGCAGATGTCGTATCGCAGCCAGTTATTGCGTGTAGAAACAATACATGATTTTGACATTTAGGAAAATTGGATAAACTGTTTGATGAATATATTTCCGATTGATTTTGGGCTTTTCCGGGTTTAAAAAAAATAAATAATTTTTTCAGTTGGAGTTCGAGCAGTAAGCAAGACGAGTAAATCAACATCCTCACCAACAACAACAGTTGTATTTGTCACACTGAATTTCTTTATCGCTGTTTCAATAATCAATACATCAGCATCATCATTAGCTTGTTCAACGGATATATTCTCAGCAGTAAATTTTGCTTTCAACATCGAAATAAACCTAGATTTATTGTGATTATTTGCAAAGAATTTCTGTTGACTGGTAGGAACTGTCATTGATTCATCGAATATAATATCAGAAGAAGTTGATGAAGCAGCATTTCGACGGCGTTGCTCTGCTGCTTTAATATTTCTCGTATAATCATCATATCCGTCAAATACCTCCATCTGTCTTCATGGCTTTCATCATAGACTGTTCGATAACCATGTCTGTAGAAGTTCCACAACTCAATTTATCTGAGCGTCTCACGGTGAAAAATCCTTCGGTAAATTTTTCGTAAACTTCAGGATCCATCGAGTCCTGTAATTGCATCATGTCTTGTAAATACAAGTGTGCAGATTTAGCATATGGAAAATGTCCTGACGAGTGGAAATAAGGTAACATTTCTTTTACACAACTTAAATGAGCTTTCCAGTCCCCCCATACGCTCAGCTCTCAAAAATTCTTTTGCAAGTGAAACCATATTAAAATATTGTATCCAAAGTTGCGCTGTTGGTCCTCGTTCCTCAAAATCTTTCAATTTCATATTAAATTTATGAAGTAAAGCACCTGATACTTCATTATCATTTTCAATATCTGAATATGAAAGAGTGCTATCTAATATATGGTCAATATTTATGATTAAATCTGCTCCCATGATATCATTAATATCTATTGTTTTTAATATTGTAATTGCTAAAGCCAGCTGGAGTAGTGTATGTGCTCGAACAGCTCTTGCGTAAGCATGACCATTGAGCATTTTTTTCTAATGACTTTGGTGCATAGATTTCTGAGAGTACTTCTTTTATCCCGCTACCTTGCATAATATAACCAATTGCTCCGAGATAAGACATGAGTAGATGAAATCCTCCAAGTCTGACAATAATCTTCGATACTTCAGAGCCGTCAGGTGCGGCTGATACAATTTCTCGAGCTTTCGCATACAAGGGTTGGTCGAAAGTCACGATGCATACAGTGTGGCCGTAACGTTTCGCGTTCTCTAATGCACAAAGTAAAGTCGTATAGACAGTATTATAGTTACTAGCTGGTTGATGGATGAATGGTAAAAATGTAATCTGAGATTTTGAATAATTTGTATGGTAATTTGTTAAGCGCTCAATAAAACCGTTCCAACCAGGTAATGATGTATTTTTCCACTTTCCATAAAACCATACTACATCAGAATTTTTATGAAAAGATACTGTTTCAGTTCCATATCCAAAATCTTGGACATATATTTTACTGTAACCAACTACATCACTATTCTGATAGATCTGTATTGGCACATGAGCTTTTGCTTTGAAGTGTTTTGCTGAAAGAACTTCTTTTATTCGTTGCATAGGTTCTTCTAGTAAAACAGAGTGCTTTGGAGTTACAATTTGAATTATACCCATTATGTGGAGTGAATTGTTACCATCTAGCGTATTAACATTTATATCAGCATTATCTGCAACGTATTGAATAAGTGTGCCACTTTCAGGTGGTAGGACATGAGGAAGAGGATGAAAAACTGCTGCTGACTCGTACATCAATGTATCATTATAAGAAGCACACAAACCAAAAGACGACAAAATTTGTATAAGACGCTTAGACCCGAACCTCCGATGAAAAAAAACTGAAAGACCTAACTGTAATTTGGACTTGAACGATCTTGGTCGAATAGCAGTCATGATACTATGACAAATATTGGTGCATACTAGTTTTAAATGATCGAAATTTGATCGTTTATTTTTTAAGATCATTTGCTCCAAAAAAAAATGTCAGTGACTGTGGGATGTCATTATTTAAATCTTCAAACATTCGACCTGGTGGAGGGTAGTAGGAATTATCAAATACCGAGGATTGAATATCTTCTCGAATAATAGATGCTGCTGCTTCTAGAGTTTTTAATCGTTCTTCTTGTTTATTAATTTTTTTTATTTTCGGACCAAGATTGATTTAAAATTTCATGGTGACTGTTTATCAAACATACAAATGTTAACGCTCCCGGTTTTTCAGTGATAATAATTTTATCGCCATATTTCAGTTTAAGTCGCAGCTTAATAGTCCTGTTATCTAAAGTTAAAATTTTGCTAACATCTTTTAACTCAGCCAAAGTAAACTGACAGTCATTGCTACTCTCAATGTATGTAAATATTTCCTGCATTGCCAGATCTGTTGCTTCATCTTTAGGACGACCAACTGTACCGCCAGTAGTCGGTTTCAAAAAAGAAGTATAACATTCTTGGTGATACTTTGCTTCAGCAGCAACTAAATCATAGTCAAATTCGATTCGAGCAACAACAGCTTTCGATATAGCATCGGAACGAGTTCGTGCTACTTCCAAAATTGAATGTTTGAATTGGAGTGTACTTACTTGACAAATTTTACTGCGACGATCTAAGGATTTTTTTCTCTGCAACTCTTCATTCAATTTATTGCCACAAAATAAACATAGTTTTTTAAAACAAAAAGCTGAATCACTTGAACGGGATCTAGTACGAGGAGGACTACTTACTGTAGATCCTGTAGATGTGTTAGCTTCTTGTTCTTCGCGTTTTCTTTTGATGGCAGCAGCAATAGAACACTTCCGCGTATAAATTTTACGACAGTTGCTATGTATTGTCACAGATTTTTGTTTTTTAAGAAATTCCGAGTATCCATCATCTCTTTCAGCACTTGCATTAATCAGTGTCTTCATACCACGATCAACAGTTACAGTTTCACTTTCAGTTAAAAGATGAGTACAAATAAAACAATATTCTGACATTTTTCTTATAAAAATCTAAAACGCACAAAATAGGTTAAAAGATAGTTTAAGATAAGCACATGTTTTCCCTACGCAGTGGCGCTCAAGACTAACGGTATGTATTTCATATATTGGGCATGCCAACATAAAGCAGGTATACGACCCTAGCCACGCGGACAATAGAATAAAAGACAGATGTTATCCCAAGGTTATACTGACGTACAAATTTAGGAACGGGGTTTCATTATACCTGAGATTCTCGTAGTTTAACTTATATTTTACATAAGCAAGTTACAATAAATAATAGCGAACTTATTTTAGTTCTATTACACCTTTAGTGACTTTCATATGTGGCGTACGTGTGCAAAATAGAGGGATTACGACTGATCCAACTTTTCGGAACGTTATATCTCCAAAATGGTGGCTTTTAGGAAAAAAATTATTAATATATTTTTTGTAGAGAATTTCGTGATCTACAATTTTGTACTGGGGTAATTTTGCGAAAAAAACTCACCGTTTCGCTAAAAATCGCAAAAAAACTCATTTTTTTGACCTTTGACCCCGTGCCAAATTTTTAGCACACCTCGGAACGATGAGGACTTTTGAGATTTTCTTTATAATGATGTTTTGAACAACTATGCCAATATTCAGCTTTATGGGAATTTATGTAACCTTCCTCCTGATTTTAGGCTTAAATAGACCGGACTATAGTGACCCCACAAAATCCTTTGACGGTACTTTTTTCGCAGACCATATGTCAGAGTCTACGATAGATATAATCTATGGTAGTGGCACTTTGCATTATGTACAATAATAAATTATTTGACATTAAAAAAAATTTAGAGCCACAGCTTTTTTTAATGTAATGAATTTTTGTTTTGTTAAATGTAAGGGGTCTCAAAACAATAGGAGTTCAAAGTTTGACGCAAGAAGCACGAAATAGATTGCGATGGCGAAATACACTTGCGGAGGCTGAGGCACATAAGGGGTTGAGACATTGATGATGATGATGAGTGAATATTTCATCAAAAAATAACTATGATTTTATGTTTTATATAAACAACTTACATATATTTATTAGTGTTGCCCAAAATCGGTCTTGGTCTTGTTCCTGCAATTTCGCAAGACCAAGAACCGCCTTATTGTAGCAAGACCAAGACTGAAACCTGCAAGACCAAGAGCGCAATACCAAGACCAAGACTGGCCTAAGTCTGGTCTTGGTCTTGCATTTGGGCAACAGTAATATTTATACACCTAAAGTTACTTAAAATCAATGTTGTATGCCTAAATTAAAAGCTAAATTAAAAACAGTTAACAATTGGGCGTACATGTATGTCGTCAAAAAATCGAAGTGTGTCCCCCACATTCAATATCTAATGTATGTTTTAATTCACGTGACAACGTCAAAAAAATCAATTAACGCCGGCTGCACGTACGAAAAAACAAAACTCATTGTCCCGTTACGCTCATTGTGCGCTTGCGCCACATCTATCTCTCTTCCCCTCAAAGATTTAAGTATGCAATCATTTCCTTAATGTTTTATGACGTCATCACATTAAACTATCGTCCGTAAACAGTATGTACAGATAACCATTTCTTTTTTACATATAACAAACACTTTTTTAAATTAATCAACATACCTGATCAACATCAGATGCCGATTTGGGCTCTCGAAAAACGGCCTTTCTTTTAGATATGGCCTCAATAACATTTGTATTCTTCAAATGTTCATACACCTTGTTCTCATACGAGTACGAGGGTAGAAAGCAAACTATACCACCGGGTACTATGCTACATATATTCCTTAATATACGACCGACTTCATCCAGCTGGAAAATTGGAAATCAGAAATCAGGACAAAACCACTTTGTATGCGAGAATTTGTGAGAGCATGGTCACGTGACCAGGCGTGATCTAACGTTATTAAAACATTTGGTGGTTGGTAGTTACACAAAAATGGATTTGTCACAGGCCATAGAGAACGACGTAAATATATTATCTATGGTCAGCAGTAAGAATTCACGTAAAAAAAATTGTAAAAAAATCTATTAACTCGCGGCTAACTCTCATAATACAGATTAAAACACACAGTATTTAAAACTTACCAACTCTTTTGACATTCGGTTCTCATAAGAAAAGTTCAACATGACGTTGCCCGGTCCTCGTGACAAACAGACGCCCAAAACATTCTCCGAAGGCACTACATGATCACACTTCACTATATTCACTATATCTGTGTTTAATAGCGACTTAAATTCACTTAAAGGTTCCATTGTCCCCCCTGCTACGACCACCTTAAAAAATATTATTATTAAACTTAAAAATATCTGTGGCGTTACAACTTCTGGGTTGGCCTAAGATGTATGTATCTTAATAGGCAAGTAGGTGATCGGCCTTCTGTGCCTGACACGACCGTGACGTCCGTCGTTCCACAACTGAGCATTTTAAGGCAGTTTTTGCCGCGTACCACCACTATATGGAATCACTGACGTATTTCCGAACCAATTCCACTTAGGGTCTTTCAAGAAACAAGCGTACCAACCTCCTAAAAGGCCGGCATTGTCTATGGACGACAGTTTCACTTAACTAGGTGTAAGTTAAAAAGTTACGTAAAAATATTTGCAACTCTTTATAACGTCATTGGTTATAACGAAAAACTCTCTGTATCGCAAGAAGGTTTTAAATTTATTGAAGTGAAACTTCTTTATCGGGGTTGGAAAAAAATTTAGTGTAACATTTTTGCGTTACGCGTCACATTTTTTCGTTACGCGCCATGTTGCTTTTTGAAGTCAAACTTCTTTATCGGCGTTAAAATATGACATATAGTATGTTTTTGACTTTGAAGTTTGACAACGGATTACATTTTCGAAGTCCAACTTCTTTATCGGCGTTAAAATATGACATATAGTATGTTTTTGACTTTGAAGTTTGACAACGGATTACATTTTCGACTTGAAATTTGCTAATCGCAATTTGCAGCAATTAATTTGTAAATTGTATGCTAGGCAGTGTATCAAAATTTACTGTGTTTAAAGAAATAGTTTCCAATAAGGTCATAAAGAAGTTTCACTTCTTACGTGTGTACACCTAGTACACGCACACATTTTTTTGGTTTAACCCAATACCCAATACATTAATATTTCCTCCCGTATAACGAGACCTCTCTATAACGAATAAAAATGCCCTTGATATTGCTGTTATAAAGAGTTCACACTGTATATTACAAAATCTGTTTCGTGTTTGTTTGCATAAAAATAATACTCTTTCGTAAAAAAAACACGTTTTCTTTACTTTACACGTACTGATCTACACTGTTGTACGACATCTTTGAACCGTTCAGCGGGATTTAACAATAGATACTTTAACTGGGCGTTTTCTCCGTACTGTACAAGCACGCGACCGTTCTCACTGCGCTCACATAACATCTCCAAGAAATCCAGTAGAGCGTATAAACCACTACCCGCCGATATTTCCGGTACCTGGAATTATTGAAAAATTGAAAATTAAAACTGTTTCTGGGCTAGGATTATTGGAAATTAGAAAAATTTAACTGTTTCTGGGCATAGAATTATTGATAAATAGAAAATTTAAACTGTGGGCATAGAAAATTCCATTCTTTCTGGGACTTAAAAATTCTAGCGATAATCTGTTGTATGAATTCCTCTTGCTTTATTACAAAACGTGGGACTAAATATAGTATATATTTATACTTGATTAATTCCTCTCGGTACTGGCTTCAATTCCTCCTTCCCATCCTTTTCCTCAACTCTATCTTCTTTCTTCTTCGACATATTACTCAGAAAATCCTTAAACGACTTTTTTCTGTCGACCGTATTCTCTTTCTCTTCCAACTCTTGCTGACTGTATCTCATCGAGAATCCATGCAACTTCGGTGCTAAACGTGCTTTCCTACAAAACTCAACTAAAGGGCGGAGATTCAAGTGATCAATTTCCGTTTTAATAACAAAATCTTCAAGTGTATATATTTTTGCTACTTGCGTTTTATCTTGTTTTAAATCACCTGGAATTTTAATTTTTAATTTTAAAGAATTTATAATGTCTCTTAGAATTGTTGTGTGTATGTGTATGTGTTGTGATTTATCTCCCGTACCGCCAAAAAATGATCCACCCAAACCCAAGCTTCAGGGAAACCTGAAGTCACGACCTCACACAGCGCAAGAATTGGTCGATTAGGGAGCGTTCAAGTATTACGTAACGAATTTTGGGGGGGTCCCCCTTTTGTAAAAAACGGGATTGAATTACGCGTTATTGTTAATATTATAATATGTAACTTTTAGATATAAAGAGTCAATAGATGGTCACGAAACGTTTTACTATGGGGTACAGAAAAACGTTACGGCGCGTTACATGGGGGGGGGGATCAATAATCTCCAAAAATTGCGTGATGTAATACTTGAACGCTCCCTTATTCACATTTATAGGTATTAAAATCATGGTAAATAAAATTTAACACTCACCCACTAATTTCCCGACAACAAAACCAATCTGATTCAACTGTAAAAGATTTCGACTGCTTAACTTCGCCCTGTACCTATTTATATAGAACTTCAGGTACAATTTTACAGCCGTCAACTGTTTCATACTAACGGGCGCCGAGTGAGCATTTTCCAACGCAGCTGTAAGCCCATGGGCCTCGTCCAATATGAGAATATTATTTTCGAGTTTGAGATTAATGCCACTTCGCGCTCCACTGCTTACAATACCAGCGTGACTTATTAGAACTACCTGTAAGGTAGGTTACCCGATATACTAACACGAAACAGTTCAGAAATCAGATGACAAAATTAAAAATTTATTATAAATTAAAAAATTTTAAGCTAAAAATTTATTTACCAAATATAAGACATTGCTGCCCTATGGCAACACAAAGGCGAATAAAAAAATAGTGTTTTTTTTTAATGAACACAGTTTAACAGGGGCACGGGCAGTAGGCTCATCTGATGTTATGTGATACCGCCACCCAAAGAGTGTCTTTGGTTACTCTAATTCTCTGACATTGGTAGAAGGCTCGCAAGTGCGTTGTCGGCCTTTTAAGAATTGGTACGCTATTTTCTTGCAGCATTATTTTAACATAGGTACATGGTTTTAAAAGCGTTACGGATTTAATTAACTTGTTTCTGCATCTTCTACCGCATTTACCATGGAGAGTGTTCAGAGGAGTTGTTCGGATTAATACCTGCAGCTGAGTTTCATCATCGGACGTCGAGGCAGAATACGAAATTCCACCCGTATCACCTCGACGTCCGACGTTCCACAACTGAGCGTTTCTCAAGGCAGTTTTTGCCGCGCACCACCACTATTTGGAACCAGCTGCCCACTGAAGTATTCCCGAACCAATTCGACTTAGGGTCCTTCAAGAAAAGAGCGTACCAATTTTTAAAAGGCCGGCAACGCACTCGCGAGCCCTCTGGCATTGAGAGTGTCCATGGGCGGCGGTATCACTAAACATCAGGTGAGCCTCCTGCCCGTTTGCCCCCCGTTCTATAAAAAAAAAAAAAAAAAAAAACTTGTAAATAATTCATTTATCAACAAAAAAAACAAATAATTAGTTATGTCTTTGCCTGTCTAACTCTAAAACTATCTTGGAGGTTATTTCATTGATCTAAATTATTTTTTTTACATTTTAATAATTAACACGTAAAAAAATGACGTAATTTGACAAAGCATAGTGCGTCACAGGGACTGGTGCAACGCCATCTTGGTTTTAGCGAGTTCATGAAATTATGAATATTTAATTTTAATTTTCAAAGTCTTAATTGTCTTAAATAACGAATTGTGTAGCTTCAAGTCATTAATAAATAATCTAAAATAGGTTTTAAAACCACCCATTCTACCAATTATTAAAAAAAGGGTTTTATATATATACTAGTGGACCCCACAGACGTTGTCCTGCATGATATTTAAAGCGATTAGGATATTAAGCAAAGTATGAAAGTACCGACTGCAGTGCCATCTGCCGGGCTGATTTGTGAATCTAAACCATTCCCAGATCCCCTTGAACACACACAAAAAATTTCATCAAAATCGGTCCAGTCGTTTGAGAGGAGTTCAGTCACATACACACGCACAGAAGAAATATATATATTAAGATATGCCAAAAATGGACTTTATTTCCTTAAACTAGTCTTATCTGGTAGGCTTGGCGTCTCCCGCCGGGTCCAGAAATATCCTCATGATATTTATGGGCAAGTCGGACCTACCCACGGCATCCGCATCACCTCTTGCCCGCACTTGGCTCTTGACAGTCAACAATGAAGTCAACCACGCACTGTTTTGTTGTGTTTTTTTTAATATTTTTATTACTCTTTAATGTTAATATTCTAAGGTTTCGATATTTGTAAATATGTGAGGAACATGTATACTAACTTTTTTTAGTATAGTAGTTTATTCTAAGAGTACATTGTCTTCACATATAATTATTTAACAAATGTAACAAAATATTGTAAACCTATTTTAAAAGAGTAAGTGTGGAGTTTCTTGCCCATTCTTCTCCACACGAAACTACCTTTTGGAAGGGGCAACTAGAATCATCTTTATATTTTTTTTGACGTTCAAAAGTGCCATTTTAGATGGTCTAATTGAAATAAACGATTTGACTTGACTTGACTTGACTTGACTTGAACCACGCACGCGGGGCTTGTCTTCAGTTTGAATCTGTGTATTACTTACCTCGGAATCATCCAAGGCCATTCTAGAAGCATAATACGGGCAGGCCTTCAAAATCTTCCCACATTTAACTAAATCCTCCATATCCATAACATCCACGAGTAATCGTTCCTTCAATTTTGTTATATTTCCTTGATTATAGTACGTACAACTTTTGCACGATTTAGTCTTTGTTTTTTTTGTTGCCCTACCATCCATATCTGTCGATGTTGGTTTAGATTTAGACTTCTGTAGGTCTAGACACCTGGAATATTAAGAACAGCCTCAAAAACATGTTACGGGACATAACAACATAACTTTAACTAATCATACAAGGCAAAGTGGCAGGTAGAAGGAGACCTGGCCGCAGACGCACATCCAGGTTGAAAAACTTAAGACTTGTTTGGTCAAAGCACCAAGTCATTGTTTAGAAGCGCGGCATCAAAAAATAAACTAGCTATGATGATCGCCAACCTTCGCAAGGAGATGGCACTATAAGAAGAAGAAGGGACATAACAGAGCTACAGTAATACTGGAGACACTTTTGTGGCCGTTGTGTTTATTACTGGTGCCTAGACAGGTGTATTATTATTGTTCGATTTCCAGTAAATTTATTTCGATATAACCAATACTGGAAGTGGCGTAACTATATCATCTGGGGCCCGAAGCAAATTCTTTTGATGGAGCCCTATCAGTTAAAATCGTCACGTTGTACTCAGTTTAATTCTAATAAACTTCGAGATTTTCAGCGTACTCAATTACACGTTGTATATGTCCGACTAATGGCCATAGGCCTCCTCTCTTAAGCGAGAGGGAATGGTCTGTAGTCCCCATGCTAGCCCAAGCGTTTTGGAGACTTCACATTCATCCATACACATAATATCATCAACATAATATCTCTTGGGCAGGGGCCCTCTTGGGTCGGGGGCCCGTGGCATTTTGCCACCCCTGCCACCCTATTGTTACACCACTGAATACTGGACACATTTCTGTATCCGTTTCTTTGATTTTAACTGTCTATGTTGTCTCAGTATTTGAAATATTAAGATAAACTGTACACATCCCATCCCACCCATCTGTTTGATGATTTGATATTTTAAAAGAGTACCGAGAGTTTTTTTACGCCGGCTTTTTCTCTCGGCCTACACCCTCTGTCTTCTTTGCCGATGAGTAGGGATGCCTACAAATTCAAATTTAATGACGTGAAATAAGTGATACATGTATCTTATGTTCCTTAATAAACATATTTTTTTTTTTTATTTTTTTTTAGATAATTTGTACCAGGTTCTATACCCCGTAACATTATGTCGCTCTGGTATAATATCGGACTGAGAAGTGTTAGCCTAGTGGTGGTAGTGCGACTCTCATCCCTTAGGTCGTAGGTTCGATCCCGACCGTTCACCAATGGACTTTCTTGCTCGCACGGTGAAGGAAAACACCGTGAGGAAACCGGGTTGCCTTAGACCCAAAAAGTCGACAGCGTGTCAGACACAGGAGGCTAGTCACCTACTTGCCTATTAGATTGACAAATGATCATGAAACTGATTCAGTCAATCTGAGGCCCAGACCTAAAAAGATTGTAGCGCCACTGATTTATTTATTTATTTTTTAAAGTACTGGACACACATTTATCTAACAACTACCTAAGATCCCATCATGAACAAGCAAAAAATTTACCTTCCAGGGTTTGAACCCAGGACCTCTGCGATGAGGATACTATTCTTGGTTACTATAACTATACACTTACCTCTCATTAATGAGATTAACATTCTTTAACTTATTGACATCTGAATTGATACAGTAATGCTGTCTGGACGCCAAAGTAACAACTCGGATATTATTATTAAAATTGGTTCTCTTTATTTCACCCACAAACTGTGATAACTGGCTGTGTGTTCTACTACTTATGTATATCTGGAAAAAGGCATTCATACATTATTTATAGATTTAATAGTAAAGACCAACAAACTAAGCAAACAATAATTATATTTATTGTACCAAGTTATTAACAAAAATAGAAGATTGAACACAGAAAAAAACTCCACGGTGTGTCAGGTATAAAAGGTTGATCCCTACTTGCCTATTAAGAAAAACATATTATCACAAAACAGATTCAGAAATCTGAGGCCAAAATGTATTCCTTAATTCAAGGTAACTTATTTACACTCATATAAAATTAATTAATTAAGTAAATACAATATATTGTATTGTCAATACAGTATCCGCTGATAAATGGACTAATCCAATTTTTTTAAGTATTAGGTCCAGAGTAAACCAGATTCAAATCTACAAACTCTTCAGCTTTTAAATATAATATCTGATAATTATTACACAAAGGTTGATAGGAAATATTGCCTCTAACTGCAAAATACACCTGGGGCCTTAGTCAAGATGCCTTAACAGTAGTGTATGTAGAAAGTCAAAAACTAAATTTGTATGGAAATGACAGTTTGTGTCGAAAAATTAATACAAATTTAGTTTTTGACTTTCTACATACACTACTGTTAAGGCATCTTGACTAAGGCCCCTGGACACAAAGATATAAAGATGTCATTACAATTCATAAATCAAAGTAACTTGTAATCTTATAGTGCTATAATTTTGTTAAAAAAATATGGAATGGTTTGGCATATTTAACTTTCAGAAAATAAAGAAACATTACAAACCTTAGTAATAGGATTACTCTCCTCAATCGGTTCCTCAGACTCCGAATCATCATCATCTTTTGCCTCTATTTCATCAATCATAAGATCATCTTCCAAATCAAAATCATTTTTATCATCAGACTTACAACTGTCATCTATAATGTTTTTCTTAAAGTAGTGATCAATTTTATTTAAATTGGCTTTTGATGCCGCTACTCTCTTCTGAAGTTCATTGAAATATTCTTCTCTTTGTTGAAATTTGTGAAGTTTTAATTGTAAGCTAGCAAGGGCTTGATTATTTTTTATTTTTGTGTACTCTTCTTGAAGCCAGTCATCTGCATCTATGTAATAAAAATTTATACTCAATTTAATGATGGTAAAAGTTCTATTATCTAGTTTGGATTGTTCTCATTACAAACAGACAATATTTTATTTTAATTCAAAAATACAATTTGTATTCTAAACATAATTTTAAAAAATAAAGGTTACCTGGAATAAGAGAGTTTGCTTCATTAAAATCTGATATCTGTTTTTTTATATCTTCTATAATAGCTTTGTTGTTATCTTTAAGCCATTGTAATGCTCCGCAGCAAATACTTAAGGATTTTCCCTGTAATTTATATTTTCTATAGGTATCGACTTTAAAAAGTAATTAGGTTGCAGTACCAATACTTTCATAAATATTTATTAGCTAGGAAAGACCTACGAAACAGAAAATATATTTTGGTACGATATGTAAAATAAATACTAACTGTGCCAGTAGGACTCTCGAAAATACCCAGCTTTCGATCGTCTATTGTTTTATAAAGTTCACTCATGAACTTTTTCTGAATATCATATGGTTTGAAAGGAAAAGAAAACTGCGGTTCCATTTTAAGGTTTTCTTCTAAGTAAAATTGGTTTAACAACAAATCAATCAAAATAAAATCTGTCTTGTCTTCAAACAAATGAGTGGCTATTTATCACATCAGCAAGTAAATAAAATATATAAAAATAAGACAGCTCAACGTAGGGTTCACAACCGTACGATAATTATCGTACATTTGCGATAATTTCATAACTACGTACGATGTACGATGGTACATGACTATCGTACGCAGATTGTACGATAATTTCCAGTCTGATAAAAAAATTTGATGATTACACAGATAGCCCAATAACAATTACAGTTTTTAGTGTCAGTGCCATCTATTGGCTTATTTTTCTATTAGGAACTTATGCAAGGCAACTACAGCAGATGAACAAAGCGTTAATGTACAAACACAAAAACGCATCAGAATGCACAGCCAAAAAATTCACGATTTGTATGGTGACGCAGATTTGGAAGTCTTCGATAACATTTTAATACCTAACGAATTTTAAGTGATAAAAATAATATGCGATGTAAAATGAACGAGAAAAAAAAACGTATTTTTGTTCCTCTTTGACGGAAGAGATTGAATTATTTTTTTTTTTTCAATTTGAAAAACGCAAGTTTACAAGATTTAAACTATAAATCGTTTGCAACATTTTATTTTCACGTTTCATATGATTTTTTAAAGTATTTTTAGCAATTTTCCTGACTGTACGATAATTTATCGTATATGCATCACATATACGATAATTTTACGGCCCTGGTACGATAACTGCCTGGCTTCAGGTTGTGAACACTGGCTCAACGTAGTTAATCTTGTCCGACCTCCGGCACAGTTAAAGTAAATTACTATAATATATAAATATATATAAACGCTATTTGCTTTAGTACGGTTCTACTTGACTTTAAAGTTTCAAGTTGAATCAAAAATTCAAAATAGAATCGCTTTTTATTTTTGTTTCAAGTGATACCCCTCCCGCGCCCGCGCAACCCCGGCGCATCACTCAGCACTAATCTGTGCACTCAGAATTCAGATCTTCCCTCGTTGTGTCAGTAAACAGTAAAGTGTAAACACTAAACACGTAATTTAGTCAAATCTTTAGGAGAGTGCACAAGTGCCGTGAAAGGCGTGCGTGTTTTTTGATTTTTAAAGATGGCTAAATGGTTGGAAGATACAACTATCAAATTTGTGTCTGAATATGTTGTTCACGAATGTTTGTGGAACGTAAAAAACAATTTATAAAATCCATTGACGCTCCTACATTCGTTTCGGTTTATTTATTTCGAATAAAATCTCGTCTTCTATTTGTTCCATAACTACAGTTAGTATTTTGCGTAGAAGAGAGCGTATTTGCCGACGTCGTTGCGCGTTCATTGTGGCGCTGTAATGAATAATGATACTCTACTGGAAGAAATGTAAACGTTCACTCGCAACGCACTAAAGAACTTGCCTTTCAACTTGTACTAAAATACTCCCCTAAACACTAAGATAATGTAAATCGGCCCTAATGCTCTCGCGACTCGCGTGCTTCTCGCAATCAATACCAACACAGTGACAGAAAATTGACCAGTGTTTTTCTTTAAGTTGGAATTGATCGAATTTACGAAAGTACATTCTATACTTACATGCACCATTTTTTTTATGGCTGGCACGGTTTGTGCATTAGCCAGCGTCAAGTATAAGATTTTTATAATTCGTGATTGCCTTAGAAATTCGACCGTGTCCTCCATGTACGGTTTAAGCACTCGCCCGGTACCGCACAACCCTCCCAAAGGCCGAGAACAAATTTAAATTAAATTAAAACTTGCCCTCGAACCCGGTACCCCTCACCTAGCTGCCACTTAATAAGACCGCTAGGCTATGAGGCCCTTGGCAATAGCTTTAACTTTTTTAACAGTTTTTCGAAAGAAATTGTTAATGTTATATTGTGCATACTGTGGAACTTGCACGAGCTGTCACTGTCAAAGGGTCATGTACGATTGTCGAAGTCGAATAATGTCTGATTGTGCAGAGTGCAGACTGCAGTCACTAATGTAATAAGTAATGAGTGATGATCAAATAAACATAATAAACAATCAAAATTAACGTTTTTGGTATTTTAACAATATTAATTTAAATCGCTCATATCTAGATGCATAGAACATAAAGACATCATGTCTCATAAGTAAGGATTTGATTAAAAAATATTGTTTTATGTTACATGAAGGTAATTTTTGTCGTTACTTTTATATTTTAGTATAAAAATTCTACCAGGAGCAACAGTTTGTGAAGACTGTACCTTAGAAGGTGATATAACAATTGGTGGAGGCACTGTGATACACCCAAGAGTAACTATCATTGCAGAAGGCGGACCTATAATTATTGCTGAGTACTGTATTATAGAGGAATATTCTACTATAATACACAAGTAAGTACCACAAAAAGTTTTTAAACTTTAGAACTACATCCACAGAAAGATGTCAATATATCCATAGAATTACATTATTTATATAAATAAACTTAGGCAGAGCTGAACCTTATTTTTATCCTGTAAATGTGCTTGTATATTTGTACTCTATATGAATATGTTCTTGGATAAAAATGAAAGTCAGACAAGATTGATTACTTTAACACAAACTTAAAATATCTTTATTTATATAGGTAAACAAGTACCCTTATCAATGTCAACAGAAAATATGTTAAATTGATTCTAAATTTACATTTACTACCAGAGCAAAAAACTCTCTGACGCTTTAGATTTTTATGTTTGTGTAAACCTTGGTTTGAATTATATTGTTCTGTTTTTTCAGAAAGTCAGATAAACAAGAGAATCCTCCCAAAGCACTATTCATTGGTGCTCATAATGTATTTGAAGTTGGCTGCAGGTTAGAGTCGATTTTTGGCCACATTGGAGAATACAATATTTTTGAATGTCGGTCTTTTGTTGGGGCTGATGTCAGAATTGGCAGTGGGTGTGTTGTTGGTACGTTCATACTAACCTAAAGAAAGTACTATATACTGTAAGACAACCTTATTTTAAAAGAAAAACTTGTGAAAAAAAGGGTGCGTGAACTTATGTACGCGCGTAAGAAGTTATACTTCTTTGGCATTATTTAAAATAGTTTTTGATTGCATGTAAATAATTAATTACAATTACATAATCAAACACTGGAAAAGGAGTCAATAAAGTTCAGTTTACATTTGAAAAATTAAATAAATAAATATTTATTATTATTCTCTAACATTATGAAACATAAATTCTATTATTATTCGAATGTTGTTTTTAAATTATTTCCAATGCCGTAGCATCTTCCGTGGGCAACTTCATTCTGTTAATTTTGTGTCACGGTGCGCGCGCATCGTAAAATTTCACTCTCATAAATTTTTCATAACGCGCCTAAAGAAGTATAACTTCAAAAAGAAATCTTCTGGTTCAAACATTTATATACTATATAATGATTTTGGATAAGTTACATTAATGTCCTGACATCTACATTAGCTTACATAAAAAATACTGTATATCTGAAACACTGAATAAAGTAATGTAGTAGGCATTTGTAGTGTTAAGTTCAACCATATAAGATATTAGATAAACAGCATCCATCTTATGTCTTAATATATATGTCAATAGTCGAAGTTCTTGGCAAGGACTTGACTTTTTTTTCTCTCAATTTTTTACTCCAAAAATTTATATCATTTGATTTACAGGCGCAGCATGTTGTTTGACAGCACAACAAACATTGGCTGACAACACAGTAATATGGGGCTCTCAACATCACATTAGAGAAGCATTAGAAAAACAACCATCTCAACTCCTACAGCTTGATTTTCTTAGCAAAGTGATGCCAAACTACCACAGACTACGAAAACCAAATGTTCATAAACGACAACCATCAAGACAGTCTACAGAGCCTGCAAAATAAGTCTCAATGTAAATTTTTTATTAATGTATTAAAAGGTTGCATACATTTTACATTCATTTTTGCAAAAATAATCTATTAACACTGCTTAAAATATAAATTATTCTCTATATACTTATTTTATTTCTCTGAATCCCAATTACATTGCGTGTTTCATATACAGAAGTGATTTTATTTTTTTATACATTATATTAAGTGAGATGTGGCCTATTGAATAAACCCATATCATCTAAATATTTAAAATAAAGTCGTGTTAGTTACACCACTTATAACTCAAGATCGGCTGGACCGATGTTCTCTTTTTTGTTGGATTTTTCTCCGATCCGAATAGCAGAATAAGTAATAAAATAGCGGAACAGTTCTCGAATAACAATAAATAAATTAATTAATTTTACGAATGCAAACTGCATGTGGTGCCATCTGTTGACAAAACTACGCATCATTTTACATTGAATTCGTGTCAGTTCAAGAAATTCCGATCTTGAGGTGAATGAGGAGATGCATAACCAGGCTTTGAACTTGATCAAAGACATGTGTAACCTCATCAAAAAATGTTGTATATCAGAAAATGCTTTAGCGCAATATTGGCGCTAGAGAGAAGAAGCCTAATGTGTATAACTGCTATTCTTCTTTCGCAATGGCAAGCAAGAAAACATTTCTGTATTTGCAAAAAAATTGTATTAATGAAATCCTAAATTAAAGTCAACACGATATTATTAGACTGTTAGGCGGAACGAAGTTTGCCTGGTCAGCTAGTACCTACTGTCTAAAATAATGATACAACCTTCAACAAATATTGTATCTCGAACCTACCAAATCGTGGATACAATAGTTTGAGGTGGATTAAACGTCGTGCGTTACCAACTTGGGGGCCTCGGCGGCGGCAAATGATTATTTTTCAAAACCTTGCCATCTCACTATAGTAATGGCAGTAGCTTAGAATAATAAGACAGATTGTAAATACTTATTAATTTCACTGATTTTATATGAACTGTTAGATTTGTAATGCACCTAAATTCATACATTCTTAAGCTTTAATCTAGATGGCGCCTCCGTACACAGGTACGGCCGGTTGATTAGCGAAGGTAATTTGTGATACCGGCGTTTTTCTATTATCTATAAATTACACAACGTACGTCAGTTTTAAAGTCACGATCAATTTATATTACATTCAAAAAAATTTGTCTTTGAAATTCGATTAGAATGTTGGTAATATGATATTTAACGAAAGTTATAGATTTAACAACGCTATAGTAAAATTTAACGTACCGAAATTTTTAAGTCTCAAACAGTTTAATTTAGTTTAGTTTGCAAGCCAGGCTTTGAGTTTAAATGAATTTCTTTGCATTGTTTAGTCAATTTAATTCAAAATCATATGCAAAAACTATTAATTTAATATAGTTTATAGCAATTTATAATGATTGACCTCGTTTAATATAGGTCATACAATGACAATGCAGCACTTAATCCTAAACAGATCCTAATTAAACTAGCTGTTTTCAACATCAAAGCTTGCGATGCGGCATTAGAGATATACCTGTATTTACTGTTGTAAAAGAACTCATTGACGTCATTGGGTCGACGCATGCGCGATACTAAGCCTGCAAGTAAGGCGCAAATCGCAAAGTACGAATAACCAAGAACGCGACACGACGTCTTCGTAACTGGTCGTTCGAGTGGTTAAAAACTTCAACACAGCGCGGGAAATCACTTAATGGTAAGTCAAATTTTTACTTTTAATTACTCTTAATTATACGTAGCTTGACATTGGTGAAGGGAAATATGAAATGTTACAAATTTCGTAGAACGTGTAGAGTTTGGAAGTTACGTTCTACAAAGTTCTACGGACTGCGCATATATACATTGGTGTGGACGTATCTTCTAAGTTAAATAGCTTTATGTCGTAATTAGGGATGCATCCGATACCGATGCCGATACCGATATATCGGCGATATTTTGGGTTTGCCGATATATCGGCATCGGCGATATTTTCATTGCCGATTCACCGATACTTTTCAAATTTCACGCTTTAAAAAAATAATGTAAACGCGCATTTTGTAAGATCTAGTTTGTTGCAAACGAGCCACGGATTATTGTTGCCCGAATTATCCCGCGTTTTATTCAGTTTGTTGTCTCTATCATTAGCTTGGGGACAAAGCATTATTATTTATGTATATTTGTATTTCATTTCGCTAAACACTATTTATTTATTAACACTTTCTTGCATTACAATATAAAAATTGAACATAATTAATTGAAAAGGAGGGCAAAAATACATATTACATATAAACTAAAAAAAGTCTACATGAAAAATAAAAGTGCACATGAATCACGATAATTTACGATCAGTCTCACGTCAGTTAGTAGTTAGTACGAAAAACTCTTGATGGATTGATTAGTAGACCAAAATTTTTACTCGAGTCAACTATCTTTAGCGCATAGTTATTAGATATTATGGCTTGCGGGAGATCATTGAGACTTTATTGAAAGTAGATTTGAAGATCATTTAGTTGGCTTTTAACTGCTATCGCGACTAGTATTTTTTCGATACCAAATTTAATAAAATACAGAATTACTACAATGTTATCATTGTTAATTTTAATTATTAACAGTTATTTATTTTATTTTAATTTAATTATTACTCTTAATTCTTAATTTTAGTAACAAAACCTTTAAAATAATTCAAAGTTTGTGACTACTTTTTTTAATAAAAAATATAAACTTTAACTTAACTTGATATATTTTACCTTAATTTAATTTTAATTCAATAAGCGTTGGTATCAATATCGGTATCGACGATATTCCTATAAGTGTATCGGCATCGGTATCGTATCGGCAAAAAAGCGTATCGATGCGAGTCGTAATGTATGAATTGTTATTGTAGCGGCTAAACTATAAAGTTCACACGACGTCTTCGTAATAGATAATATTGTGAACGACAGATTGTTCGACATCAGTAGGTAAATATTTCTTTGATTTTCATACTACAATTGAATTTACATTTCAAAGTAAATATTAAGAGTTTGATTTTTAATAATTACCTACTCGTTACTGGTAAAAAACGAAACGACGCAATAGAAATTAACAGAATATATTTATTATTAAAAATCACTTTATAACGTTTCTCATCTCGACCTCTAAGCAGGCGTTAAATTACTCCTATTAAATCCTGTCCTTGGTTCGTACCTTAATCCTTTATCTATAAGTGTGTTTATAATTCTCTCTACACCGAAGAACAATTCATGTACATATATAGAAAATTTAAAAAAAATTCAGTTGAAATGTCCTGAATTATTCGTGTCGTCCTTATACAAAGTACTTCGTAGTCTGACCTCGGATAATATATTCTGTGGTCCAAGCAGCAAGATTAATGATCACGCCATCACCATTCAGTATTCACTTGTTGATCGCGAGCCATGAATGAGATAGGCTTCATTAACTTCGTCGGCAGTTTATCTTTAGCAATTAAGCTTACTATTTTAGCCAAGATTATCTAAGTCAAAATTATTTGTTTTAATTGCCAAATATAATATTAAAAGCCTCCAGGTGCGATCTCGAGCAACAAATCGATATAAAGTTAACAACCGAGCATTTACCCAAAATATTAAGAAAATTCAGATCGCAACTGGAGGATTTCTGCAGTAGGATACTGAGATGTGTCACTCACTAGCCCATGAATATAAAATAGAAATATGTAGTAATAGGTAAATGTATTTGTATATATGGATATGTATATTAGGAAATTTCTTAATGTATGTATATATATCTTTGTACAAAATATATGTATAAAATAAGGTCCCGCACCACAAGAATCGGGGATATTGGGAAATTTATATAATAAAAAACAATTTGCCAAATATAATTTATAAATGAAATGAAATAGTTTATTCTTGCAAGTAGGACTATATAAATCACTTTTACAATGTCATCCTAAAATAGATGAAGTCGACATTTCCTAACTGACTGCCCTGAGAAGAAATGTCGAAACAAACTCGGGGGTCTTAGTCTCTTTTATAGTCCAGATAATACAATAATAAATTAATAAATTGGTGTAAACAAATGCAGAGTATTTACTGGACTGGTCTTTGGAAGAAAGAACCAGATCGATCTGAGCAAGCCTGTGCCAGCAGACGGCAAGCATGCCCCGAATAGCTCATGCAGCTCAACCATTTTTGAGGGAGCTGCACAACCCGGTACACAGCAATACCGCCAGTGGCACCATAAAAATATGTGGGGCAACAACTCACTCAGATCGCCAGCCCAAAATAACTATATACTAAAATGTATCAAATTATAAATCAAGCAAAAGAGTTTATGATATACCCGCATAATGTTTACACTTACAATGGATACAAAATGTATTTTTAAGGTGTACCTTAAAGCAAGGAAAAAATAATGAAATTGAAAAATATAATCGTAATATAAACATTATTCACTTGGCATGTCAAAGTGTAAAATATTGTATGCAAAAGCACAAAACATGTCAGTAATGTAGAGAAAAAAAAATGTAAAAAAATGAATATGCACTAAGCACAAACATGTCAATAGAATAAAATAAAATGCATATGCAAAAGCACAAGACATGTCAGATTGTAAATATGTACAACATGCAAAAAAAAAAAAGTGAAAGACAGCTTAAAAAAAAACACAAGCGATAGCTGTATAAGCGAGCAGCTCAATCCCAGGCGTTTCTATCATTTAAATAATCGGATATCCTGTAATATCCTTTAGTTAATAATTTTGATTTAATAAAAAAATTTAAATTTCTTAAGGGGAAGTTTACGAACATCCATAGGAAGTTTATTGTAAAAGCGTATACATTGACCCATGAACGAGTTGCTTATTCTATGAAGGCGAGTAGCATGAACTGTTAAATTATTTTTGTTCCTAGTATTTCGGGAGTGAAGATCAAAATGAACTATACACCTCAATGAATTATAGTTTGAACGGTTATTTGTGTTGCGATATTATTACGATCTATTGCATGACATGACGTCATCTCA